TCATAACTTTATTAATAAAAGCAGAAATGAACTATATAAATAGTATAAAAAAGACCATAAAAATCAACGACAAAACAAATGAAAAAAGTAGAATGAGAGAAGATAGAATAGAATTCTTGAAGGGCGGGGGACAGGGAGGGGTGGGAGTTTGAAAGATGAAATATCCCCCCCGGGGGTTTTAGATAGTTAGGTAGGGGTGGTAAGATATTTAGATATTTGGGTAGTTGGATAAGCGTGATATGTTGGGATTTGGTAGGGGTTGGGGTTGGTAGGAGCTATAGGAGAAGGAGGGAAGAGAGAGGAGGGGAAGAGAAGGCTAACGAACTAAGAGTACTTGTGTAACGATACTGTACTGGAGGCAGCGGCTGCCTAAGGTTCGTCAGTTGGTAGTTATGGGTTAAGGCTTTATCACTGGTATTCACTTGGAAGTGAAGTCGTTGCTAGATCAAGTAGAATGTAGGTAAACTAATTGATAACTAAGTTGAGCACGAAGCTCCTAAACTATGAAACTATTCTGACTATATAATGATTCCTTTCCTGGAGTTCTAGGGAGCCTACACTTTTGGAGGCTCCTAAGAGCCTTAGGGAACCTACGCTTCTAGAGGCTCCATCACGTGATCATATGTTTGCCTCAGGACACTAATCCTGGGACAATTCGTCTCCTGGGATAATATAGCTCCTAGGATAATTGCCCTGGGACAAATATTATCCTAGGACACTTTATCCTGGGACGAATAACGTCCTAGGACACTTGTCCTATGCCTTCATGGTTGCCTAATCGTTTTGTCCTAGGATAATTATTATCCTGGGACACATATTATCCTAGGACACTTGTCCTAGGATTCCTTATCGATAAGGAAACCACGGTAAACAGCGGCCCAAACCCCGATACTTGGTTTTATTGTATAATATTAGTCGTGGTTCGTAACATACTCCTTGAGAACTTGATTAAAGTTAAAAACTTATTAAATATAGTGAGATGTATAAAAAAATTAAATTATCCAATACATCAATATCCCCCTCTCTCACCCGGAGTAGTTAATACTTGTCAGAACTAAAAGTATAAGAGAACACCCACTGTTTATATAAATGTTACGAGGTTTGCCGTCTAGATCACGTGGAAGTGCTCTAGGCTCTCGAGGTGGTTTATAACTAAGCGTCAAGCAGGGACTTAAAGTAATGATAATAATGCAATTCGTAACTAATAGTAGAGTATACTAAATGATTGATCTTGAGCACGAAGCTCTTCACAAAGGAAACCATCCTGATTATATAGACCTTCGTCCTCCATTGGATCTCTTGGATCCTGAGAGTTTGTGGACCTTCGATTCGTATCCCTGAATATGCAGGGTCAATCACGTGACTTGGATCAGACTATATGTCCAAGCTTGCTAAGGGTGGGGAGATCCTACGAACCGATTACCATACAATTTTGTATGTGAATCGGTTTGCTTTTCCACGGGGTCTGAGCTCATATGGACAGGTAGACTGTTACTACGTAACAATAAAATAAATTAATGAATAAATATATAACGTGGTTTATCATCGAGTGGGCCATATCATCGAGTGGGCCACTTTTCCCTCAATTCACACCTTCAAACCTATATTATTCAACAATCATTAAATCAATTGATTAAAACTATTAAGAATCTAATAATCTAGGATCTATTACATTGTTTTGACAAGTTCTTGAATTATAATCCGGTTTTCCACACTTACTACAACATCTATTAGAAGATGCTTCCCCATTAGAATTCCCCCCTTTTTGACGCTCGTCGCGTTGAATCTGAATATCAACCTCTTGCTGAGATAATATATCAAGAGCCTCTTGTCCGGTGAGTACTCCTCCTTGACGTAATTGGGTTTTTTTCGCGCGTCGACGCTTGCTTAATGCTTTATTTGCCTTCCGAAGTGTACGAATCTCTACAGTCAAAAGTGTATTTTCATGAGCTAATCTCTCTGTACCCTTAACTAGAGCTAGTACAGTCTCGAATATAGGTGTAGGGAAGCTTGATTGATGACGGGTTATTCGAGATTTCACTAAAGTTGATTGAGAAAGAGCTTCAGTTGGGTTGCGAGGGGTTTGAGAGATCCATTGATCTAGGTTGAAAAGAGGGGGGGTAGGTGTGCGAATTCGAATATCTAATTTCGAAAGTACAGCTTCAGGATTAAATGGTATTAAACCTGTTCCTCGAAACCCTGATTTCATATTCTGAGAGGTGATTGATTCTTCGTATGCAGCTTTAAAAGCTATAAAGAATTCAACCTTCGAAATATGATTGATATATACCTTGATAAACCCATCAATTTGACCACCATATGAACGTTTCAGATTACTGAAACAGCCAATATCAAGTGGCTGAGTCAAATGACTTGAATGCGGTGGTAAACGTAAACATATAATATCATTTGCTTTACAATATGATTGAAAAGCTATTGATTCATGACTTTCGTGTTCATCCAGCATTAGCATTCGATATTTGCCCTTTCTTCGATGAATTGTATACTTGTCAAAATGCTTTAACTATTCCAACCCTGTCTCATTGTTTGTCCATCCATTAGATGTAGGTTTAATAGCCCATTCCGCAGGAAGATTGGATTCGGTGTATTAATTGGAGAGATGAACCTATCCTTGAACCATTAGAAATGGGGGAATAGTTTTACTTTCTCTATTGCCACATATAATTGCTGTAGCCCACTCTTGATTGCCTAGCTGTACTGATTTACTTCTGCCATGTCTTTCGGCACTAGTAACAACCATTGCTGCACTTATAATGCCTATCATAAAGCCTGTTTCATCGAAATTGTAGAAATCGCCGTCCAAAATGCTGTATTTCGCTCGTATATTCGCAACCAATCGAAACCACTCTTCAATAAGCTTAGGATCTTCGCAGAGAGCTCTTTGAAAGTCATAAATACCACTAAAACGCGTCTTTAATTCGATTCGACGCTTTACGAATCGATACGCCCAAAGCTTCCCAACACGCTTCGTACCCCTTGATTCAAGAATATAATTCGCCATATCTTCCACATTCTTAAGTTTAGGTGGAAAACCTCTCGAATCCATATCAAGAATATATTGAACAATCACTTCCTCTTCCAATTCTGTAATATTATAACGATTCGCTCGAGTTTCTGTACGAGGTGGTAAACCATCCATTCTGTATTGAAGAGTCGTACGAGGGATATTATAGAGCTTAGAAGCTTTTCGAATGCTTAGTTTTTTATCTTTATGAATAGCTTCGATAGCAAGAAAGATTCGGGCTTCTTGATTAGTTGATTCCATAATAATTGATTGATAAATCGCGTGTAGAAGTTGAAGGTGTGAATTGAGGGAAAAGTGGCCCACTCGATGATAAACCACGTTATATATATAAAGCTTTCTAATTTATATAGTTTGGTATAGAAGGGTAATATTGAGTTGAATATATATTAAAACAGAAAAGAAAGAAACTTCTTCGAATCCTTAATATTTCAAACTTTACTTCCCCATCATAGCAAGCAAGAAATCAAAATACCCAACTCCAATTCCAACACCAATTCCAATCAAAAATCATTTCCCTCCCCCCAAAATCGGAGGGAAACAGAAGACAAAAATAACGACACAAACAAGGAAAAGAAAAACCCCTACAGAAACCAAAAACGATATAACCAAATCCATGACTCAGACTCGGAACATCGAGTCCATGGCCTATTCACCAACTTGGAACTTTCACAAATGAATTAAAAATTACCTAGCACCCAAGGAAAATACAACAGAAGTGTTGCTTGCATGTAATAGATCAATCAACTCCTACTATGAAGTTCACATTGAACAATGTAGCATCGTCTATTTGATGATGTAATGTGTAGAGTCATTGGGAGGTGGATCGTTCCTGGGGATGGCCTCTGTATCAATTAATTAACATTGTTGCTGAACAGAGCGTGGCAAATTGAATGGGAATATCGAGCTGAAATAAGGGAAAGACGTTGTGGTTCTGATATTTGCGATTTCCTATATTTATAATTCGTATCCAAGCTCTTGTATTCTCCCTAAGTCCATAGACCCTCTCACGAGCTCCAACCACCTCCCGAACAAATAAACCACCCGTTTCCTAATCTTTTAAACATCTCCTAGCGTAAAAAGTATCGTTATGTCACATCACATCTGGAGAAACAAATGAGCAAGTATTGGGACAGAGAAAGATCAAGATGACATTGATCTTAATTCAGCAGCAAGGCACTTCCTCAGATGTACATTATGCCCACTAAAGAAGATTGCTTTTCCTCCAACCGATGAATTCCTGTCCGAACTCGAAGTAGATATTCTCTATTCACAGAATCGTAATCGTAAATCCATCGTGATGAAATTCTTGTGTGTAGTAACAAGCAACGCCCCTCTTATATTCCATTCATCAATTTCTGGCTACTTATGCTCCTGGGTTGGGGTTCATCTATTTCCAGTATTAGCAAACCATTCCTGGTTCAAAAAATTTCGTGGTATTGTCGAACCTTTCTCTTGCCACCGGTCATAGTAACGTTAACGAAACGACGAGTGAACTTCTCTCTCTTGGCGGCACGTCCCTTAGGGCGCTTCTTCTTCTCTTGTGGCTCAACCTAATCGTGATACTGCGTTAGTATGACTTGATTCACCAAGATCATTATTCTTTCAACCATCTCGTTTCCATATCCCAAAAGTGTTGCCTAAATTCTTGCTTGCTACCGCATCGCCCATCCCAAATTCCGTCCTTTCCGTCGAGAAATATATCAAAAGAATCGTACCTTTGGTGTTTGAGACTTGACCTTTCCAGCACGAGCGAGGGATCCGTGAACCTTTCCCATGATTGCGGTTTATCGGGATGTGTCGATAATATTTCCGATAACTGTGAGAGTGGCAAGTATAAGCTGTGATGTTCTTCTCTTCAAGATGCGAATAAATCGGTTTGGTAGCGATCAAAAATCAATCTATGAATCTGCGAGCGATTTGATAGATAACGACACCGTAGGTTTAATGAAATTGATGGGTATACGTACGCGGTTGCTGAGTTGTGGGTTGTCGATAGATTCGTACGGTTGCTGCTATCCTCTTTCCTCTTTCCTTGCGGTATCACTAGCGCGTCGCTTGGATCTCACACAGGGCTCACAGCCCTTTCAATTTTAAACACGTGATGCTCATTTTTCGGAGTAAACTTCTCTTCTTCCGCTCCTCTCTTAAAAAACACAACACATGTGTTACAACATATGCAAGATTTATATCTGACAATTTCTCTCCAAAACCATCTTATTATATTCACGCTACAAGATCTTTAAAATCAACGAACTTCTCCAGCTTCAATAACCCCTCTGACATTCATATTCACAGAAAATAATATGTCAATCATTCACGTGAACACTAATAAGTCTTATCGTTATCAGATTGTATTTGGTATAGTGCATTCCGAGTCTCGGGAATGGTCCCGATGTCCATTCATGAGTTACTGAGTCACTTTGTTCCATCTATCCATCGACGGTAAGGTACAAACTTTCTCGTTGTGTAACTATCACATAGTAAATGTTTATTCTATAAACATTTCTACATCTCTCCGGCATTTTGGTATAGTATCATTTTGTTGTCTTCAACCTCACAATGTACATACCCAAAGCTCCCTTGGGAGCATTGCTCTTGAGCACGCTTCTCCAACTCACAAGCAGTTCTTCTTTACCAACCGACGTTCCTTCTCCTGATCAAATCATCATAAACCCATCCTCTTCTGAATCCACAAACCGCATACCTACATCCCGCGAAAGCGCCATCCTCGCCCGCCGCATTCTCCACCTCACACCCCTCGGAACTCTTTCCACCATCTTCCCGAACTCATCATCCTCTCTCGAGAACAGACCCTCCAATCTCGAAAACATTCCCATTGGCCTCATGGATTACATAGCCGATTGCGAACCCACCACCAATAACCCCACGATCCTTGCAATCAGCATAGCCACCAGTTTTAAAAACGCTATCTCCAACCCCAACATCTCTCTTTCACTCTCCTGGACTCCCCCATACCCGCCTAAATCCCGCATCTCCTACTTTGGAAAGCCAGATCCCTTCGCCTTCTCCGCGGCAAACCAACCGCGCTTCAGTATTCTCGGATATCTTGAACCCATCGTAGCTTCACCGGAAGAGGAACAGGATCTAAGAAAATGTTTCGTCGATACTCATCCAGATGCTAAATACTGGCTACCGGGTAGTCGTATCCACCATAGTGAATGGATGCGCTTAGTTGTGCAGGAGATATACTGGGTGGGAGGATTTGGGGATCGGGCGTATATTGGTTGGATACCGATTGAGGAGTGGAGGTCCGTGGATAAGAAAGAGTGGGAGGAGGCTAGGTTGGTGGGAGAAAAGAAGGGATGGAAGGAATGGGCCGTTGAGGGATTAGGGCTGGGAGGCGCTTGGGAGTTGTGATGCTGAGTTCTTGCCATGAAATCGTTTGATGATAGGGTGTGAAATATGTATCCTGAGAGTCTTACAGTTGTCACAAACTTTATTTGATGTCTATTTGTAAGAGTAATCGCATGTTACGGTACTGAGTTGTTATACATAATTTATGATTCTAGAACGAATTTTACCCAGCTCCTCATTTCACGCCTATCCTGTTCACGCACAGTTTTGTATCTCTAAACCATACAATAGCCACATTGTGAAACCTAACAATATGCACCTTCCCAGGTACCCCGAGATCATCCCCATGAAGATCCTCAGAATTACCCAACTCCAACACACGCGAAAACACCTTTACCCAGTATGCGAGCATTGAGTATCATACAAAACCCCTTAATGATAAAGAAACAATCCTTCCCTTCCCTTACCCATATAACACATCTCCCTAAAATCCAAAACCCATATTGAACGATTTATAAGCACAATCACTTTGTAAACAGTGCGACCATTAAAGCGCAATCATATCCTCGCTTTCTTAGAAGATTGATCCTGATTGTCGACAAAATCTACCATAGCTCTCTTAGTTGACATCGACAGCGAAATATTACTCGAAGGGCCATCACTCGAATCATCATCATCTAGTTCTAAATCACTTTCGAACAACGAGTCAAGAGAAGAGAGACCACTAGATTCCGAGCCAGATCTTGCTCGTTTAGAAGTATGAGCGCCTATGAGAAGAGCAATCTCAGATTTTTCCCGGTGCGATTGTAATCGAACAGCGAAATTCTTCACTGGATTCCGATTCACGTGTTCGGAAATGAACTCCCATGCCGTAGTCCAGCATTGAGCATTGACTCGCAAGTCTCTGTGTTTTAGTCGTAAGAAACGACGCATGGCTTTGATGTCTTCGAGAAGTGCGTCGTCTGATCGTTTATCTTTGTGATATGAAATTAGGATACCGGAGGCGACTAATTCCAGGGGTGAGAAGGTGCGGACATGGTTGACATCTGGCTCCTTGAGAAAATCGGGAGCGGGATCAAATACCGAATCGTTCAGGATTTTGTACTGACCATCTGCTGATTTGGTAGAGGATTTCTTGATCAGTGATTCGAATCTATCGAATACATCTTTGAAGGCAAGTTTGAGACCCATCGATATTGGTTCTGGATCTTCTAGGACACGCATAAGTGCTCGAGGACTTGCCTGGAGCGAAGGAACATCTTTCTCCCTTCGACTGTTTGTTCGTCCAGAAAGAACTTCTTGAATCATAGTAAATATGGTGAGAATGAGGCGGATCCCCGACGCACGACTTTGCTTCGATACTAGTTGTTTGTGAGCCACGTTTTAATGTCAGTCTCAAGGAACTTACAGTTGACCACCATAGCATAGTCATCCTCATATATTCTGGTGAACTTAGCCCATTCAGTGGACATTGCTCTCATTTCCTCGGCTGGAGATAGAGCAATTCCTCGCTGCACAAGCTGGAACATAGTTTCTTCAGTCTCTTGAGTCAGATGGTTATATTCATAGCAACAAAAGACTTTCTCATCGAAGAACTTTTTCAATCCGCCTGGACAAATGTTTCTGTCGCTAATTCGAGTCACCACACCGTTGATAGTTGGATGGCAGTAATACCCATGATCATGATTAGATGTATTTAAATCATAAGCTCATCCTAGCCCAAGCTCTGCACTAGCCTCGGAGTTAAATCTATTTAAATCGGATATTTTCCATTTCCAACTTACAGATTCAGTCAATACGTACCATTTTTTCGGTGGATGTGAACTATCTATGAAGCCGATCTCCCCACTCATGAACCTATAAAGTGATGTCAGGCGTTGCTTTCCATCGACGCATATTCTCATGTGTTTTATCTCCTTTTGGCCATCTTTCAGCTTGTTGATCATTGTTTTAACATTAAAAACAATGGGAGGAATAAAACAGCCCACTCCATAAGTCAGTAAACATTACCATAGAGTAAGCTAGGTTATCACTTACTTAAGAGAGATTTAATAAGAGTAGAAGCACGTCCTTCGTCCCACACACTCGCTCTCTGATAATTTGGATCCAATACTAGATTGCCCTTCACGATGGTATCTGGTTGAGGTGAGCATTGCGAACACTATTGCCTATGAACAACACTAACTGTAGAGCATTTTCAAAGACCACTTCACGATCATTGGACTAGGAAGGTGTCGAATCTTGAACCCTTAAAAGCGTCTTTGTCAATGGGAATCGACATAGAATATTGCCGCTCTGCTCACCTGGGCAGACAAAATGTTCTACACTATTAATAAAAGCTAGACCTTCAAAGTTCCCATCTACATATTCGGACGCTTCATCCTCAACATCTACATCATCAAAAATATTAGCCTCTGTGATATCGGGTAAATCTAGTGGGACCATCTGACCTTCGAAATCTTCATCCTTTACTTTGTTCTCAACAAGCGAGCCAGACTTGAATTTTATGTTTGCCGCAATAAAAACATTGGAGTAGCTCATCTTTGATGTTTCACCCTGTTGCAATGTTGTTTTGTAGAAGCCCTAATGTAATGCGACATTCACGTTTGACGTACAAGTTCGAATGCAAAAACAATAACTCTAGCAGCCAGCGCCAAAGAGTCACCAACCGGGAGCGCAGTTCAAGAAGAGAAGATATGCTAGGTAGAAAGTCTACGATGTAGTCATGTGACGTAGTGCCGAAGGTTGCGGATAGTAAGTGGTGAGATTGACTATGAAATTAAACTAAAATGAGGGTTAATAACAAAACGTCATCGCATGAAAAGGGGTAAAGCGATGAGAGCCTATAGAAGCCAAACGATCTGCAGCACTTGCATCCTTGTCCGTGCTGCACCAACACTGGTACTACTCGAGCCACATGTCTTAGAGGATTGGCCAAAAAAGTGACATTAATAGAGCAGTCATGGAGTAGATTTAATTGGCTATGTATATACCCAGCTAATATCTAGAAACAGCTGTGGCAGCATCGCAATGCACACATGTACATCTGCCGCTTAGCATAGTTTGTGCGCAATGGAGACAGACTTAGAGATCTGAACGAAGGTAATATAGGGTAGGGAATGCCATGTGCTTTGGATAACTCACAATATATCCTAAAACTCGCGATAATCCTTTTCATTGATAACAATTGCGTATTGATTGCCATTATAACACAATAGAAGCATTGTGTTGGACATAACCAAAGTGGTGGGTCTCCAAGCGGTTAAGGAAGGTGGGGTGCATTAGTCTAACTTTGTTTGGATTAGTATCATGGCCAGTCTAGATCTCCAGGCTTTTCAACATTCGAAGATTTAAAAATCACTGATAGTTATTGAACATTCCAAATGGATTTAATCATCCCGGTAAACTGAACGATATTTGAATAAAACCAAACCCTCAAGGGACATAAAAAATCATATGATGTTAAAGATTGAAATTCCTTCATTGTCTGGTATGAAATCCAAACTTTTCAGATCTCTGAGATTGGCAGAACACCAGAAGTTCCGCCTTGCTAACGTCTAAAAGACTTCGTTACTACTAATCCATTTTATACGCCCAGAGTACTAGATACAAAAGAAAGGTGCTTGAAGAGCAAGTCTGATTGTACTTCTGACATTCCTATGGCTCCTACCCTGGTATCGGCGAGCTCAAAGTACCAAGGGAAATGGCGGTGATACGCCAGAGCTCAGGACGAGATATGAGACAAGTAGATGGAATGAATCGAACGGCACTGTATACAATATCCTGGTAAAACACCTTGAACTCCACCTTGAAGTCCTTTTATTGGGTATCATCAACGCCACTATAATCATTCATACCATCTCGTAGAACTTTTGTGAGGACTGCTGCAGCTCTGCCAGCTTCACCTGCTTCTCTTTTAGCATGCTCTACTCCAGTGACCACGTCTGCCTGAAATCTTTTGTGAAAAACCCTTTGACGATCTTCCCGGTCAATATACATTTCTCCCTCTTCATCTCTGGATGATCCGAATAGATTGAGATGTGCATATGCGTTTGCCCTCGAAGGTATCATATGTCGCTCGACATCAAAAAGTGGAAAGTGGTTATCACTTGTTGTTGGTTGCGCAGCCGTATCTGGTTCCACAAGGCCAGCCTTAAGAAACTGGGAAAGCACCAATAGTTGTCGAGGAAGAGTTTTTCCTGACTTCTCAAAGCTAGCCCTACTTATTCCAAAGCTAACTCTACTTGCAGATGACCATTTTGACGTTGCGCTGCTCGTAGTCCAGCCTATCATCGACATGAAACTTTTCAATGTTTTCACCCACCCACCTGGACATGAAACCACATCATCACCCGCAACTTGAAGAAGCCATTCTAACACAGCCAAAGCATCGACACGAATCTCCGTAGCCAAATGCGTCATACCAGCTCTTGTGTATAATAAGGCAGATTCCACTCGATCACCAATATCCGCAGGTGGCAGAAGTCGGAGAAATTTGAGGAGCTGTGATCGCACAGAGGCATTTCCGTCGAGGATTAAAGGTAGGAGTTTCGGGAGGATAACAGCGGTTGGGAGAGGTATTGCTTCATTCACAGGCTGTGAAGAGAGTTGTGTTGTGAGAAATGAGAGCGCATCCTTTCGCTGGGTGTCCGACTTTGAACTCGATGCCAGTGAAAGATAATGAGTAAATTGCACAACATTTGAAGGCGCAGAAGTTGTGAGAGATTGCTGGTTTACGACAATTGATTTGGACTTGAAACTGGTGTCTGTAAAGTTGTCGGCCTTTGCCTTAGTTTTGCCCACTCGAAGTTTCGTTTTCTAATAAGACTGGGTTAATTATGTTGGAGAAAAATGGAATATATTCATACCTGGAAGTCTTTCTTCTTTTCCTTCTTTTTTCTCGCGCTTGAACCCATAGCGAATGAATTATTAAAGTTACAAGAAATGATGTCTTCAAATGCCTTGGAGCTTGCGAAATAAAAAAGTTCCAATAGGGACGGAATTTAGTTCTGCCGGAACCCGATGGGTAGACCCCTTGCAAATGTATAGCACCCAGCTCACTCACTCAACGCAAATCTGCATTAACAAGTATGGCGCAAATGACCGATCAACTTACTGTAAGTTACATTCAAGCTACATTTGTGAGAATATATTCTAAGAATAACCTAAGGGCAGCGGCGCAGAAGCTTTGGCAGAGACCCTAGCACGACTATCCAAGAAACCCGGGGTACAGGCGACGCTGGTGCTTGAAGCCTCTAGTGGTACAATTATTCAGAATTCCGGATCGTTTTCAGCGTTCCGTTCAACCTCTAGGCCAAACAATGCTGGTGTTGCAACCGAAGATTCGAATGCGACGGCCAACACAGAGAGCCAGGGCATCGAAGAATTAGCTTCTATGGTCTGGAGTTTTGTGAAATCGGCAGGGGGACTTGTCCATGGGCTGGATGTTGAGGTTCGTCAGAAGCGAGTTATGATACATGAATGCCGTATTGACCTAGCTATAGGATGAGGTTAGACTATTGCGCCTTCGAACGAAGAAGCACGAGCTTGTGATTGTTCCAGACTCAAAATACATTCTCGTTGTTGTACACGAAACACCTCCAGCCTAGAGGCGAACCGCAGGTGGAGTTTGAGTTCACGGATAATGTTGTGGAAAGGCGTTCAATACCCACGGAGCATTTTACGGCGTTTGTATTACGACGAGATAAGGTCTTAATGACATTAATTAATCATGCGAATTTTCTTTCCTCCTGTTGATGCTCGGTGTGGGTGTGTGGTTTTCAAGGTGTATTTCCCGAGGTCTACTTATTTTAGAGTCCCGCGTGTCTAGAAAGCCATGGGCGATTTGGCGGAGGACGATTGATCAATTCGAGATTGGTACCTTGAAGTCAAGAGCAATCTTATGATAATTCACCATGGACATACAAAATTCTTCAAGGCCATGTTTTCCTAAACTAAGCCTAGGAAATACAGTCTTCGGGATAAGCACCGAGAAGTTTAGCTCTTCGGACGATACAAATTCGATGCTTGGTACGCACTTGAAGATTGGGATAACATCTGTCAGAATTTCTTAATGTAATTTTAGTGTGTAATTGAACAACGAATGATATAATTATAATCAAACAGACAAGATTTAAAGAGAGGCTTCCCGGCCATGCTTTACAACTTTCCATCTTTATTACCCTGAGTCTGATCTACATAAAATCGCTATTCATACGCAATCATTGCTTTCCAGCTGAAGAATGGCATGAGCATTTCCTTAAAATTACACTTCCAAGGGGCCAAGTCGATGACCTAGCTTCAATCCCACGAATTCGCATTTTGCAAGCTCATCTCTACACAAATATCTCTCCACAAATTCCTCGAAGCACTAGACCTAACCAGTTGCATATTTATGCGTTATTGGAGCGAAGTTGAGAAGTGCAATAAATAACTGCGCTACATGTGTCAGTTATAACAGCATGTCTAGGTCTAGGTATTCTTTTCATGATCTTCACATTTGTCTAACCTGTACGAATGAAGGAGGTGCTATCTTAGCTTTTATTCTTGAATTTTTACGAGGAGTTTGTTTGAGAGGGGCTGAAGAATGAATGAATGAATGAACGAATGAATGTAATAGTGATTGCGGGGTATTTCTTTGCTATTCTGGTGGTGATGGTTCATTTGATTTGAAAGGGGAGATGCAAAGTCGTGGGTAATGATGAGACGGCGAGGAAGTGGAGGGGACGAGAGAATGGAAAAGAGGTGAGGTGGTGTATGTGGATAGAAAATTGAATTTAGAATTCGAATAATGGATGCGGAGGTGTTTGTTTTGCAATGGGAATTCATTTTCTTTCTCAGATTAATTCATAAATTACTACCGCAGCATAGAACTCGGTATCACCATTCCGCAAATACTCAGTTTTGAAACTGCATAATACATATTTGATAATTAAAATTGATGTTAACTTGTCATTCAAACAATGTGCACAAACATCTAATCTATGCTCAAGTATTTAATGAATCTCATCCTATAACAGAAAAGTAAAACTAATATCCAATCTGGATTTCAGCATCTGGAAGTTCTTACCCAAAAGCCGAGTGAGTACCGACCAAATTTAAGTCTGAAATGCAAAATTGGAAGGGTTAGAATCGAATAGTGGAGCGGATATAAACTGATATCCTACTTGAGCTGAAGAGGTATATTTACGTTCAGTCCCAAGGTTGGCTTGGCTCTGATGCCATTGAACTAGCATCGTTTAGATCTAATACCACTATATATATTCCTCGCATATTTGGGATAATTGTCCATGGAGGACTCCAACTGTGATAATTGAAGTTAGAGCGCGTATCCTATGTTCAGATCCGAAATAACTGAAGAGAAATGTGAGCGTCCTGACAGACTCGATGCTGTGTGCCTAGGTGGGGTTGATTATGGGACCCTATGTAGCCGATGCTTTCGATGGCTCCATCATTGCAAACTGCTGGAATGGAGATAGTACGTTCTCCACAAAGTCCATTGTGGGTCTTGATACTCTGCAATTGATACTTGATCTATCAAGGTCTCCATATGGATATACCCCGCTAAGGATATCGTGTTGAGGCGGTGTCATAACCGCAATGGGAACGAAGACAGGTCCACCACGGCTAGCGCTTGCTAGATGAAAAGGTATCACTAGCATGGACACATAGCAGGATCTTGGTTGGCCAACTGTCATTCTCCATAGGGCAATAATAGAGGATTTAAGACGTTCGGAAAAGGGGGTACACAATGAGAGACATCGTGTGAGATGGGAAGTGAAATGGCAGTGCAGAAATTGCCAAGCTAAGTGTCGGTAGGTCTCTAAGACAGCTCCATGGGGACTGTTTCAGCTTAACTGGACTCAAGGATTCATATCTCGCCTCAGGCTGTAAGAGCCACTTCATTGTTAAGTATGTAATGTCTTAAGAAGTCTGGGGACATTGTAGGGTGTCCACGAATCTTGAGTAACACAGCTTCTCTGAATTTCTCTCCATGGATGCAGTCGGATGATAAAGTAGACAATAAAATGGAAGTCTGCAAATCACGTATTCGGATAATATTCGACTCAGGAAGTAGCAGTATCAAAAAGATATTTGATATGCTGAACGAAAGGATGCTAGATGATGTTGTGGATTGTGGTGTTGTTTTGCTAACCTCGAAACAGAACCGAGGATTTACCAGGATGCACGCAAAGGGTAGAAATCGATCATAGCTTCAAGACAATCCACCCCGAGCGACCCACGAACTCGACTAGAGTCAGATCTGATTGTTTTCTCTGATAATTCAATATAAAACAATCTACGAGCCTTGAAGGTTTCATGAGCTGACAGCGACGGAAAGAATCTGAAGTACACGGCATAACGTCAGCATTTCCCGAAGTAATGGGTACTACTCAATTGGATGGACTAATCCCTCAATTAAAGGGAGGCTGGCAGATGGTACAGAGAGGCTTCTGCGGACTGAGCTTCTACAGACTGCTGGAAGACAAGTCATCTGAGCCTTATTCTATCCTCCGTACAAACAGGGAGAAGTTCGCGCGAACAGTTAAAGTAATAGAAGGTTGATAGTGGTTATCAAAATAACCTTGTTTGAGTCTAGAACTCCAGTCCCTTCGGACGCCATGCCATGCCATTAAAAGACACGAAGTAACCTCAAGTCGTTTGTATCCCCATGTCTTAAATGAAACATCGACTCTATTTTCCGACAAACCAAAGTATAAACAACAACAATAACAACAATCAACAATCAGCAAACGCGAGAATCGAATAGCTTGCCAGAGATCAGATTCGTACAACAATGTCTAAACACGATGAACAATGGTCGGGACCAGTAAAATGGATCAAAAATGCGGAAGTACGGAGTACCTGACCGGAAAAAGCAGGGAAAGAGCAACAAACCTGATAAGTAAGGCAACCAAGTATTGTACTTGTACTAGGTATGTAGTCTGTACTTCATAGGGAAGCTCCGTAAGCTATCATTGCTTTCGTTCCCATCACCCTTGGAACTAAACAACCCTTATTAACCCCACCTTCTTTGACGACCCTTTTTCCACACGTCACTCTGCTTGTACTAGGTACACTCACACATACACTCCTCCCTTCTCCCTTCCATCACAGCCATTCATAATTTCTTACACACCAATGCCGTCAATCTATGATCTATATATACACATGCACATACACACATCCACATCCACATCCGGACTGTATATCAGTGGCATTAATTTATTATCATGTACTCCGTACCGTCACCGATACCATCAATCCTTGCCCAGCCATGCATTTTCTCATCCACCACCTTGGAAAATTGGAAAGAGAGAGATATGATTGATGCATAGCTTACTTACCCTTCCTCTACTACCTGCCTGCATGCTGCACTACATAACAAATCTGCAACTGTTATTGCAGGATTTTGGGATTCGGAAAACATTCCGAGCAATAAAACCTTCTTGTACCTCTGTTATTTGATACATACATAAAGAATTCCACATGAGTTTACTCGCACAAGTACTTTTTATATTACATTAGTTTGCTCATCTTACTCTTACTATAACGCTCTTATATGCAGCGGCCCGCATATCAAGTGGTCAACCTAACTGGCTCCTCATTTGTGTCCAATTCTATTGCTTTCTTACATTTATCTTCTGCTATACCCAATCGCGTTTGCTGCATGCTGATCGATCTGATGACCATTAATATATTACTAGACGCCAGCTTTTCTTTTCACTTCCCAAGATGCCTTCACTATCTTCCCTCTTGAAGCGTCGAAGGGAAAGTCAAAATGATAACCGCACGAGCTTGAGTCTAAGCGTTACTCCAGAGAAGGTACAAAGAAAATCGAAGCGTAATTTCCTTCGCAAACTTTTTAAAATCTCTAGTGCTTCCTCTCGAGACAAGCGGGAGAAAGAACAGGCCGTGGTAATTTACTTTTCCGTTCTTTCATCTGTGGCTCTTGAGCAATTTCTTGGGACACCGCTGATGTTACCCGCCATTTATTTAGATAGTTCCAACCCCAACTTCCTCAAATCAACCTTCAAGTCCCATGTCGAATCATAACAAACCTCTTCCGCCTCCACCGCCATCAATCAAGGAGTCTGCATCCCTAACAGCGATACCTTCGAGACCTTCCAAAAAGCTCGATAGGATAATATCACCTCTTACTGATCAAGAGCTTCATGAGCTATTCTCCGGGGCTCCCCAGTTTTATGCGCGATCCGAAGGCCATCACACAGGCGCACCACATCCTTTAGTAGCTTTCCCTTGGGATTCGACTGTGCAGATACGAGATCTATCGGATCATGTGCAAATACAAGACGAGGCATGGGGATGTGTCACAGCGTGGCCGCATATCACGAGAGAAGCTCCGATAAGTTTGGAAGGCGTGGAGGATACTGGGAAACAACCGCGTGCCTGGTTTATGCCAAGATGCCGCGAACGGCCGAGTATGCTTAGTATGCAAGGCATGGAGAGAGGAACTGTGGGATATCAAGCGGCTTTAGAGCTAGGTGTTGCCGATGCGCTAGAAGAACCGGAGGAGATATTACCTGATTCTGGCCCTTTTTCACTATTTCTTAGACGAAGAGAATTCTTAAATGGCAAGGATGGAATCAGACCTCTCGAAGAGCACTCTATTTACGAACATCTCATGAATATTGGCACCTCATACCATGAGGGCCTGATGCATATGCGGACGACTGTCGAGTTATATTCAGAACTATTCACGCAGATCCTATTTCCTCCTTCTAGGGTTACTGACGCGGATGATCCTTACAGTTTGCAGGTTCAAATTGAGGTTCTTGTGAAGGTTCTAGCTACTCCTAATATTTGGATTGATTTTAGCTCCGTTGAATGGAGAATTCGTCTGGGACAGATACTGTGGGGCCAGCCGCTCGAAACTGACCTGGGGGATGACTTTTCTACCAATAGCGAGACAACCAATGAATCTGAGGACCAGAAGTATTGGCTGTTGTTGCAAATACTGCTTTCGTGTGAATTGTTATTGCGACTCGATACAGTGTCTCAAAATATCAATAATGGTTTGGAGCCTGCCAAACCTGCTGACGTCAAGAAACTTGAAAAGAGCATGACATCCAGTGTCAAATGGTCACTTATTTTAGCACGATCTTGGCTCGAGAATATCCGCATCGAGCAGAGTGTGTCCGAAGTCATTCCCGAAAGGAAGCCTTCTGGATGGTTAGCAACATTAACTGGAACATCAACTTCTGTCGATGATAGTGCACCACAAGAAAGCGTTCAAACGTTTCAGTTTCGAGGACGCCATGAAAATCGACAATTGACCGGGCTAGTACACTTTGCCCAGAAGTTGAAATGGCCCCATTTGGATAAATTGACCGGAAAGGTATTATCTAATGATATATTCATAACGGAAAGTTCTCAGAATACTCCTGCTTCTGGAACACCTATGTCTGTTTCGACACAAAAGTCATCTTACTTCATGAGCCAAAGACCTGTTTCGCGACGAGGTTTAGCAAGATCAACACAGAGAATGTCTGCACTAATGAATTCATCCGGATGGTTGTCCAATTCTTACATTAGTGGACTTATGCTACCTGGTGAAGGCTTGTGCCATTTCTTGATCTCAACATTACTAGAAAATGACGATGCTGCAGTCGCGAAGCTAGGAGACGAGGCCAACTTGTATGGCGGGTTTGTATTTGGTGAAAGAAGCTTCTGGAGCACGGCATGTATAGTTGGTCGAGTTTTGGCTGCTGGTAAGGACTCGTCTGAATGCATGGGTTGGATATCCTCGAAAGTCAAACCTAGGGGTATTTCTGGCGAAGCTTGGGTCAATATTGATGTAGAGCCAGCATCACAGGAAAGTAAGACCTGCCCTTTCAGAATTCGATCAATGCACCGACTAACAATGAAGCGATAGATTCTACAACCGAAATTCCCAGGATTCTGCAGAAGACTGTCATCGAAAGAGATGGAAGTGTTATTGGCGGAGCGGATCCATCATCAATACTTCCAGGTGATTTTGTAGCAGTTTACGACGCGCCGGTTTTACATCCTCCATCGATCATTTTCGAGTCGCTAGATCTTTTTGCTGTCGACTCTGATGAGATGACCCCTACTGAAGAAGAACCGACCTCAGAAACAGATGTAACTACAGCGCCAAGTATTAAAACATACTCTGCAATGATGAGATTCTTAATGGATCTTGATGGGGATGAGAAAAGGGAAATCAATGTTGCTCTTACTCATGATGTGCATTTCGTCACTGCTCATCCATGTGTCAAGTCTCACAGCATCGAAGTACTGAAATCTCCTACAAGCCCATTATTTCAATTGCAGGGCGGTGGTGAGGATGGTGAAGTCCCTAATTCAGATATGGGTATGTATTTGCGTTCTTTCTCTGTATCATGTACCTTGGGAAATTAATAGAGAATAGGTCACCCCCTTCATAAAGCTTTCACTTACACAATCATACCCCTACATCATATCCTGACATCTCCCGCCTCTAAATCTCTTTCTTCCCTACTTCTATCCCCACCTATATCGCCAATCGAAGGCTCTCCACCCATACAATCGAGCGCCCACACTACCACGAGTAACATACGAAAGGTCCTAGTAATTGACTGTAATAGTACGCTGATACTGCCACCGTCACCTCCAGATGATGCGGATGCAGAGGATGTGAGTGATGCGATGAGTAGTGAAGTCAGCGGGGAAACCCAGAGTAGGAATAAAAAAGAATTTGGCAGTGATGCGGAAATGTTAGCCAGAGCGTTATGTGCGGAAAGAGGATGGAATGCTCTGGTTAGTAGGAGAGGGAGAGGATGTCTGGCTTGTGCTATTAGAGAGGCTGGTGCGTTGGGGTGGGAGGTCGTGGTGAGGGTTTAGTTGTAAGGCGACGGGGTAGCAGATTCGTATACTTTGTAAAGGACAGAGTGATTTCTATGCATAGGGGTCCGGATATGATGGGATATATGTGATGGGATATATGTGATGGGACAGGTTGGGATGGGGAGGACAGTCCGCATGGGATATCTTTCATGATGTTTATGCACGGTGTGTTGTGTTGTGTTGTGTTGTGTTGTGTTGCGTGTCCTTATTTGTTTTTTTTATGGAATGTTAAGTGATACCCGCCGTTTAGGCAATTAGTTTATGGTACTTAATGGATGGATGGATGGATGTATGAATGAATGAGTATATATACATTTTATGACTTTTCATGTGGAGTGTTCACCTATTTTTATGTTATTGTGTTAGATGGATATTAATGAGATTACGAAATTTCTTGACGACTGCTGATGCGTAGCCCTTGTGAAGCATGTATATGCGGTTGGGCTCTGCAGGTTGTGTGGTTGATGCTGATATTGATGTTGATATAGGGTATTGATAGGTGAGGTTAGGAGGTGGTTATGATCATGTTCTTGGGTAGCTAATGTTGTCTACCAGGGTAAGGTGTAAAGGTAGGGTTAGGCATACATTGATGATTGGAGTTTGTCGGGGTGAAAAGGTTTAGGTAGGTACGTTTGAGTGAATTGTCGCTGTGATAAGAAGAACTTTGGGGGAGGGGATGGGATGGGATTTGTTGGTGGGTTTGAAAAGAGGGGGGAAATAGAATTTGGTCAAAGCTCACCGGGGATGTCCTCACGGGAGTGGAGCATTCTTTTCTTCGATGACCCTATCAAATTTTCTGATACCTCTGCAACTAGGCGTTCGTTTGTTTATTTGCTTATTTTAATACATGATTTGATATAAAGTATATGAGAAACTGCAGGATTGATCGGTTTTGATTTTGCCTGAATTGTTTGCCAAATCAGCCCCAGTAAATATCCGACCGGGGATGCTACCTAAGCTTCCGTCCGTGATAGACAACAGAGCTTCCATAGCACTGGTGCAGCTCCGACCCAATAGGTATTTATTGACCTTGTGTAGGTTGTCTCGATTGATATTTCACTTGTTCTTTCTCTGAAATCTCATGATTAATCTCATGAATTGATGAACTTGTTCATTTTCTATTTCTCTATCTGACTGCAGCTTTAAATGACATCATTCCGGATACCATACACTTGGAGCTGAGAAGCACAGTTCAACCTGAGTTAGCTACACAAACCTGCATTGAATCAATCCAGCCATTCAGCGACGATGGATCGTCGTAAGGAAGCAAATCAGAGTCGTGAGGGGCTTCTACGAGATTATGAGGATAATGGACGAACTCCAATTCGTAAATCATTCGAAGATACCTATCGACATTCCGAGGAATCTGATATCGACGCGACTGATCACCTCGATACGAACCGTCATCAAGCTTCGGTTTCCGCATACAAAGCCAGCACTCTACTGAATAACCTACGACATATCTTCGCTCGAAGGTCAAAATGTCTGATAATAACATTAGTCGTCGGAGTAGTCATTTGGTCGGTTCTTGCAGGAGGAGGGGTTTGGTTATACAAGAAAGCACCCGCGACTGGACTATCGCCGCCATGGTATCCAACACCACCTGGAGGCACAGTATCACAATGGAGCGAAAGCTATAAGAAAGCCGCCGCATTGGTCGAGAAAATGACATTGCCGGAAAAGGTGAACATCACCACAGGCACTGGATGGCAAATGGGACTCGCTGTCGGCAATACTGCACCTGCATTGAATGTAGGTTTTCCTGGTCTTGCATTACAGGATGGTCCTTTAGGTTTAAGATTTGCCGATAATGCGACGGCTTTCCCAGCAGGTATTACTGTTGGAGCAACATTCAATAAGGAATTGATGTACAAACGAGGCAAGGCACATGGTCAAGAAGCTCGATTGAAGGGAATAAATGTGCTCTTGGGACCTTGTGTTGGTCCATTGGGTCGTATGCCCGCTGGTGGAAGAAACTGGGAAGGATTCGGCACGGATCCATATCTCCAAGGTATTGCAGCAGCGCAAACCATAAAAGGAATTCAAGAAGAAGGCGTTATCGCTACAATCAAGCATTTTATTGGGAATGAGCAAGAACATTTCAGACAAAGTTATGAATGGGGTCTTCCCAATGCTATGTCATCTAACATTGACGATCGCTCCCTTCATGAATTGTATGGCTGGCCCTTCGGAGACGGTGTTAAAGCTGGAGTAGCTAGTGTTATGTGCAGTTACCAAATGGTGAACAATTCATACTCTTGTGGAAATTCAAAGCTCCTCAATGGCATCTTGAAGGATGAACTTGGATTTCAAGGGTTTGTTCAATCGGATTGGCTTGCACAGAGATCTGGTGTAGCAAGTGCACTTGCAGGACTCGACATGACCATGCCAGGAGATGGCCTCATTTGGGACAATGGTAAATCATTATGGGGTCCTGAGCTAAGTAAAGCAGTCCTGAACGGATCATTACCTGTTTCGAGACTCAATGATATGGTGACGAGAATTGTAGCGTCCTGGTATCAGTTAGGCCAAGATGATAAAACAAAATTTGATGGCGAGGGTCCTAACTTTTCCTCGTGGACTAATGAAGAGAAGGGATATGTTAATGCCGGTAGCCCCGATGATAAGGATGAGAAAGTTGTCAACAAGTTTATTAATGTCCAAGGCTCGGGAGCCGAAGCACATTCGATCATAGCACGTCAAGTGGCCACAGAGGGAACCGTGCTATTGAAGAACGAAGACAACTTACTACCTCTGAATAAAAATGGCTGGAGCTCGGAGGAAAAGCATGAACTTGTATACAGAATTGGAATTTTTGGCGAGGATGCAGGAGAAGGTGATGGTCCAAATGTGTGCGCAGATAGAGGTTGCAACAAAGGTACTTTAGGCTCCGGGTGGGGTTCCGGCGCGGTTGAATTTCCTTACTTGATTTCTCCAATATCAGCACTGAAGAAATCGTTCAGCACGGAACATGTCTACATTACAGACTTCCCCACAAATTCACCTCCGTTACAAGAGGCTCCTGCAATCATCAAAGATCAAGATATTTGCATCGTCTTCGTTAATTCTGATGCGGGAGAAGGATATATTGCCTATGAAGGCATCCGTGGTGACCGCAATGACCTGAATCTACAACATGGAGGTGACAAGCTTGTGAAGCAAGTCGCTGAAGGTTGTGGAGGAGGGAAGGGTAGCACAATCGTTGTCGTCCATGCTGTCGGGCCAGTTGTTATGGATGGATGGATTAATCTTCCAGGAGTTAAGGCTGTACTGATGGCAAATCTTCCAGGGCAAGAGAGTGGAAATGCAATCGCTGACATCCTTCTTGGTAATGTCAATCCAAGTGGCAAGCTACCATACACTATCGGGAAATCTCTCGAGGATTATGGCCCTGGTGGTCAAGTTTTGTATTATCCAAATGGCCTTGTTCCACAGCAGAACTTTACCGAAGGATTATACATTGATTATCGCCACTTTGACAAATATAATCTAGACCCTACATTTGAGTTTGGCTTCGGACTTTCTTATACTACTTTCGAATATTCGAACCTCAAGGTTGATGCAGTTTTGCCCAAGTCATCTTTCCCTGCCGCTCGTCCAGATGCAATTACCCCACCTGCTTTCGATGATAAGATTCCAGACCCCAGCGAAGCGCTATTTCCATCAAATTTCAGGAAGCTATCTAAATTTATCTACCCATATATTGAAAAAGTCTCGGATATTAAGCACGGAAAATACCCATACCCAGAAGGTTATAACATCGAACAAATTCCATCGCCCGCTGGTGGAGATGAGGGCGGTAATCCCGACCTCTGGACTGTTTACGCCACTGTGTCGGTCGACATCAAAAATACTGGTAGTTTCACTGGTAAAGAAGTAGCACAGCTATATCTCGAATACGATAAAATTGGTGGGGAGGCTGCGAATGTAGATTTTCCAGTTAGGGTCTTGAGAGGATTTGAGAAAGTCGAATTAGAAAAGGAAGAAACGAAAACAGTTAAGTTTGACTTGACGAGGAGAGATTTGAGCTATTGGGATGTGGTGAGGCAGCATTGGATTATGCCTACCGAGGGAACTTTTACCATTAGAGTGGGTGCTAGTTCAAGGGATTTGAGGGTTACGGGATCTTTGTGATGGGAGTAGAAAGAAGGTGTGAAAATAGTGTTGGGGATGGTGTTGTACCTAGAACTAGAATTGGATATAAGTTTTGTTGTGACGATTAAGTCGCAGAGAATTTTAGAAGAATTACATTTATTATTTACAGGTATACGTATTGTTTAGGCTTTGTGATTGCATTACATTTTTCTTTTTTTGAAATGAAGCTTATACCGTCTCTGAAAAACTAACTCACTATTTAAGGATAGAATAGTATCTTACAGCTAAGATCATATTACTGCACTATGAAAGGAAGCTAAATGTTTGATCAGTCTATGTTTCCTTCTGCTCTCTTCCACTAATGATTTGCTTGTTTGCTTGTACAACTCTAGATCTTTTGTATCAGCCTCTATTGCCTACATATAAAGGTCCCAGCCTCTGATTAGCCCCCCTTTGCTACGATATTCACCTTTTTTTTTCAATGATTTCATCTCAATACTTAAGTCTTTGGCTTCTCAATTGAATTCTACGGGGGTCACGCTTTCATGCGAAAATATCTCCCGCTTCACACGCGTTGCGTTCAATCTTTTCACAACACATTTATTCCTTCATGGGAGATTCACTGCAAGCTAAGTTCGTCAATTTTAATTTCCCAAGCTCTTTAAAAGAAATCATCAACTTCTCCATCCATCCATCCATCTCAACCACAAACCGCAAAACAAAAAAACAACAACCACAACCACAACCACAATCACAATCACAATCCCATTCCCAATCCCCAACACACAATATGCCTATCTTCATCCACAACAATAAAGGCAACAGCGCCACAGCACTAATGAAAGCAGCCCAACTCAACAACCAAGCCAATCAACTCGAAGCCAGCGGCGATTTTACCGGCGCCGAAAAATTATTCTTGCAATCTCTCCAGTTAAAAATTGAAAGTACGGGTGATGAGTCGATTCAGAGTGCTCTTTCGAAAAATGCGCTTGGAGAGTTGTATTTGAAGATGGAGGGGAGATGGGAGGATGTGAGGAGGTTTTTGGAGGGTGCTGATGCGGTTAGAGGGGGTATGTTTGATTTTTATTTTTGGTTTTGGTTTTTGATTTTGATTTTTTAGGGGGCCAGGGGGGAAGGGGGTGCAGAATGAGTATGAGAAGGAGAAAGACAGGAAAGAAGAAATGCTAATGCAATGGTTTTTGGTGATGCTGTAGCTATCGATGATTTCGACGCAGCTTGTACCCGGGATAATCTTGGTCAACTATGGGAAATTAAGGGTGATATGGTAAGAGCAAAGGCTGCTCGCGAAAGAAATCCAAATAGTATGATATGTTCAAATTTCAACGTAAGTATCTTTATATCTTCCGCACTAACTATTCTGGAGAGAGAAGCTAATCTAATCGGATATACTGTAATAAGTGCTCACTCGGCAGCGCAAATATCAAGTCCAAGAGAGAGAATCTTAAAAATTGTGCCAGATGTAGGGCTACGTGGTATTGTGGTGCGCAGTGTCAGAAAGTGGATTGGAGAGCGAGACATAGGATGTGGTGTAAGATGCCTCGGGGAGAAAGTGCGGAGTAGGTGAGTATTAGTGGTTAATTAGGAGGTGGTGATTAGAGGTTAGAGAGTGGTGGATGTTACGAGGTTTGCCGTCTAGATCACGTGGAAGTGCTCTAGGCTCTCGAAGTAGGTTTATAACTAGGCGTCAAGCAGGGACTTAAAGTAATGACAATAATGATATGCAATTTGTAACTAATAGTAGAGTATACTAAATGATTGATCTTGAGCACGAAGCTCTATACAAAGGAAATCCATCTTGATTATATAGTCCTTCATGCTTCTATGATCACTGGTGATCCTTCATGATCACCAGTGATCACCTACATCGTGATCCTTAGTGATCCTTAATGATCACTACTGATCATTTGTGATCACATGTCTTGGTAGCTGTGTAGCCCGTCGTAACACATATGAGCTCAGACCCCGTGGAAAAGCAAACCGATTCACATACAAAATTGTATGGTAATCGGTTCGTAGGATCTCCCCACCTTTAGCAAGCTTGGACATATAGTCTGATCCAAGTCACATGATGGACCCTGCATATTCAGGGATACAAATCATAGGTCTATATGAATCGTAGATCCATAAACTCTCAGGATCTAAAAGATCCAATGGAGGACGAAGGTCTATATAATCAAGATGATTTCCTTTGTATAGAGCTTCGTGTTCAAGATCAATCATTTAATATACTCTACTATTAGTTACAAATTGCATATCATTATTGTCATTACTTTAAGTCCCTGCTTGACACCTAGTTATAAACCACCTCGAGAGCCTAGAGCACTTCCACGTGATCTAGACGGCAAACCTCGTAACAGTCCGTGGAATCTATAATAGTTGAAGAGTGTCTAGATGAGAAAAGTTTAGTTTGTTACTGTCTGTATGAATAATACCTACATAATAACGAGACCATGATCATTTTTCAACCAACTGCAATCTGACGACCGATTAACTTTCTCTAGGTTAATGATCACATAATGACATATTACTTCAAGCTGATACTCTAGCAGATGATATTGAAAGAAAGTCAACCAGAACAGGCCGTTGATTCTAGTTGTGGCGTTTCAATGCTTTTCGATACGGGGTGAAGCAACTGCAACACTTTGGGATTGGCTACTATGATGGATTCGTAAGTAGATGTGGGTTTTGAAAGTATGAGGTTCTTCTATTTACATGTTTTTATTTTTCTACCTTGTAGATTATCCTGTAGACCTTGTGCAAATTGGACATATAATTGGAGGTTGACTGGTCAATTTTCACTGGCATGACCAATAAGAATGCTTCTCATTGGAGACTGGCTTCAATTAGAAGTCACATGCATGCAGTATATGATCAGTGAAAAGTATGAATTTGTATTCCTAGGTGTTCTTCAACCACACACTATAAACAAAACCCCAACTCCACTCAAATCAAATTGACCAGGAAATCTTCACTGGATCAGTTGGCGTCCATTCACGGCTCTTCACACAAAGCCAAGTCCCCACTTTATGCTCATAATCAGTGCCAGCGTGAAAAACTCGATGATAGCCAATATATAAGACCCAACCACGTTCCTCCAGCCTTTCCAAAATTCTCAATATCATCTTCTTCTTCTTTGCCTGGGTACCTGCACGAAGAAAAGTTCCTTTGATACAGAACTGGTGCCAATTTTTTGCAGTATCGACGTGCTCCTTCTTGAGCTTGGAGATAAGGTTCATTTCTTGCAAAGTGAGTCGGACAGTGTCAATGAGCTCGTCTGCTCCTCCCAACAAACTCAACACGTCTTTTAGACGCCACTTGCCTGCATGTCCGTATGTCATGGCAAGCCAATAACACTTTGGGAAAGGCTCTGGAGATTTTCGGAAGTTCAACGTGTCGTAAGGGTTTAAGATCGATGGGACGGGTTGTGCCAACCAAGACTCGGATGCTAGATACGCAATCATGTTGCGCGTCATGCGAGTTGACACATATGTGTTTCCACTGCTGAATGGTCTCATTTTGAGTTTGAAGAAGTAACTATCCTCTTCATTACATGGCCCCTCTTTTTGTATGCCCTGTTCCCAGCCCTTGTCCAAAAGACTTCGAATACCGTCTTTAATTTTCTCTGGAAAGTGCGTGAGGGTGACTCGGTTGCGATAATCAAACCCGAAAGAGGCATAAGAGACAGGGCTTGGAAGATATGCACTCTCCATACGATAAGTGGAGTCTCCAGCAAGCTCTTTTCCGGCGCTTCGACTGCAATTCCGCAAAGACTCTGTCTCTAACTTGCCTTTTACAATCTCTGTTCCGGCTCTGCGGTTGCCAGAATGCAAAGGCTTGACATCAGAGTTGTATTCAATATCTGTTGCCTGGTCGGAGTCACTCAAACACTTTGATCTTATGCCCGGGCATGAACTTGCACTTGAAATCGAGCTTGAACGGAAAGATGCAGGTCGGACAGGTGCCGGAGTTGATATAATCGGGAATCTCATGGGGTCCGTTAATTGGGATAACGGTACTGCAGGCTTGGCTGCCATGACTGCAAGGAACTTCTGTCTACATTCCTCCGAAGTCTGAGACTTCTCTTTTCTTGCCATATTTGTGGCTAATTGTGTTCTCTATGAAAAGTCGAGGATCCGAAAGAGAAGCGTCCACGAAAGAACGAACAATCAATTCTTACAATCTCGCTATTGCTTGATGACAGCTTCTTGAATCGGGTGAATACAGATTTGAGTAGAGATAAAGTCTTGTTGTGGATGAGATTTTAGGATACAAATACAGCTTGAGATAAGATTTGCAAGGGTAAGTGAGTGACAGGAAATTATTTCAATTACAAGCAATAGGAAAACGGGGATTGATGATGTAAATGATATTGATAATATAATGAGAGAAGGATAGATTTGTTGTTGTAAGAAGAAATAGACATATGTTAGCATTCACATGGGAAGGTGCGAGTATAACAGGGTTTCTGTTTTGAGTTCTCAATTTGCTTGACAGTGACTTGTTACTTCCAAAATGGTAAATACTGAGAACCAAACCGAATCAATGGGATGTCTTTGTTCATTCAATTAATGACAACAGTTTGCAAGAGTTTCATAGCTACGCTACAACTCAATAATTTCAATGTTTTGATGGCCATGAGGAACTAGGTATTTTTCGCCATGCAAATAGTGTGAATCGACAACTTTCAGCCCCGACTTGCGCCGTGTTCTTGCTTCAGAGACAATGTTTGAATAACTTCAAAAACATAAACAAGAGCATGATTGCTATTCCATTTCGCTATAGCTGCCGAACGCCGTGAACAATTCCTGCAAGAAGGGGATCTCGTCGCTCAGATGAATACGCTGACAGCAAAAAATTAAATGACTCCTTCAAAATAACCTTGCGCATTGATACCACTATTACCTGACGACCTAATACCACCCTCACCATTTTTGTCACAATCCTGATTCTCTCGATCATTCACCATGCAAAGTGTAAGGTCTCGGCGTCCTTGGTCGAAACTCCGGTGCAATATCCTCTCCCGACCCCTCCTCCTGTGTCGCACTCTCCTCTGCACTGTGACCCATCCACACCGGTCTGCTATCCTGTTCTATTTCTCCCGTAGCTTGAGTACTCTCATTCTTCACCTCCTCCCACGATTCATCACTTCTGTTATCCTCATCGCTTTTTTGTTTCGCGCGCGTGTCCTCGTTAGGACTGGCTGTTTCCGCAGTGCCATTACCCTCGCTACCAGTTTCGACTTTCCTGCTGCCAGGTGTAGAAATTGGTTTGTCACGATGTTCATCGCCGACTTTGAGTCGGTGAACGTCAGCTTGCAAGGGCTTGACCCTTTCGGCTGAGGTGAAATCACCGGGTATGGTCTCTCCTTGAGTATTGGAAGAGCCAGTGGGCATTGGAGTAGTATCTGAATCTGAAGACATTCTGCTTGAGTATCAGGGCTTTTGGATTCTTGAGTAGATGGAACAAGTGTGAAAAGTTCGTGCTGTAGAAGTAATTTTTCGAAGACAAAGAATTGCAGAAATGGCTTGGTGAGAGGTTATGACGAAATCGAAATCAGGTCATAACAAAGGTTGTTGCCTCGGATCAACTATATTAAAGCTAAGAAACAAAATGATTGGATAATATTCGCTAGAACATTGATTTAATTTGCTTAATTTGAATTTCTGCAGCCACAATAAAATCTCATGACCACTCCGAAAACATTGCTAACCCTTTCCTAACCGAAATTGAATTCAAGGACATAAGCACTCATCATATGTTGAAAAGTCACGCCACTTCCCGTAAAAGTATATGCCGCCATACCAAGATTATTCAGTGCGTGACGGAAACGAAGGAACTACCAAAGTACCGACGTTCAAAGCAAGGAGATAGCTAAGTCGACGGTGCCAGACTTCTGAGTAATAAATTGTTAAGTTCCGACTACAATGCATGCTCCGCGTACAATCGTTTTTCTTTTGGTTGTTGATCCAAGAGTAACGTAGGGACCCAATCACATGTTGGCTGAGACTGAGTTCCTAGAATGGTGACCGTTGAAATCCGGTTCATAAGACTCGTAAACCTGCTATTACCATTTGGCTAGTAGCTAATGCAGCGAGCCGAATTCAGATATCTTTGATTCCCGGCAAGGCCTGCAATAGAGCCATGAAGTCACTAACGACTGAGCTAATGGCTCCTCATCCGGGTGGCATTATATTTCTTTCATTGCGAAATTCGCCTAAGAGGTGCCTGAAAGGACCCTTTTGTCATGCGTCCATACTCATCAATTTTAATCGTGTTTCAGGGAAGACTGAGTGTTCTAGGGATTAGCTGGGCTCTGTATAAGCTATTCCCAAGTTTCCAACACCGCCTTCCATGTGCCAGTCCCATTGATCAGCAACGTTGTTGTTTGTCTTCACTGTTGAATCGAAGCAGTCCATCAGGTGGATCCATATGAGAAACACTTCGAAACGCCACTCTAATTCAAGTTTAGCATAGCATATCACTTGTGTCTCATTTACTATTCACCTTAAACTGTAATAATTCCGTCCCCATATTTAGACACATGGCCTGGCTTGTGTTCTAGAATATGGTGAGATGGCTCATACGCAGAAATCAGCGATCTGAAATGGCAACTTTTTTTTTTTTGGCTTACGGTAGCAATCGCAGGCTAGGAATAGCACCATTCCCATTGATGGCATATTAGATGAATATTTCAGCAACCCCAATTTCAAGACACTCGGCGAAAGTGGCTGGACTACGCCTCGCACAGCTGATATCCACATTAGGATAAAAGGATATGATATCTGTCCCCAAGTATCTGGAATGGCATAGAGAATTTCCGAAGCAAGTGGGAGATAGATCCGCTACTGTTGATGAGACCAACAGCTTGAGTTTCCAATATATCTTGCTCCAGATTATATTCTAGCTACAGACATCCGCGTCTGAAAACAAATACGGTACACCGCACTCCATGATGGCCATTGAACAAAAGCTCGTATCTTTCGCGTCTCCTCTGTCCCCAAGGCTTTGGCATCCTGATATTCTTTACATGGCATTTTCGGGCAACATGAAGAGCTTTCTCCGCCCCCTATGGAAAATTAGGACAGTGTAAGACCCATGAGTGATTTGGCTGCCGTTTCCTTAATCTCGCCATCACTGAACGATGACCCTGCCATACGGTGTTCCCCACATTTCCCCGGAATATCCTTTACCCCATGAATCACAAGATCGCCCAATTTCCATCGAATAGCTTTACAAATAGCCATAGGACTTTCCATATAAAACCATTATCGACACAGCAGATGGTTCCAGGGGTTCTAGAACCAAACTTCTCTTGTCCAGCATGAGCTACCGTTGGCCCCCTCGCAAACCCAATTCTGCCAGCGCTCTGAGATTATGCCCCCTCAGACTTATCTGCACTTTATCAGTCACTTCTAGCAGATTGACACTCGAATATGCATTGAGCCCTGCATATAGACAATATACGAGCGGATCGCCTAGGAACCTCCCAAACATGCAGATGTGAAGTTCGACACATCTGGCGAATGAGAAGTTTCATTGTATCTGCAGAATCCAGCTCAAAAAGACAGGTATTTCCCCGTTTCTCGGTTTGACCATTTCCAGACGTATTTAGAATTATTTCTCCGTATTTTGTTTCTGCACCAATTCAGTGGACTGGACTTGTTCTTTCTATCGGCCCATTGCCACCCACTAGATCTACTTGTGAGGGAATAAACAGCCTGTTTTGCACAAAATTGGTTGAAGTCGGAGGCGGATCAATGAAATCGACATTATCAAGATTATCTTAGGCAATGAGGGAATGATTTTCGTTGTTTCCATCGGGTTTGAACATGCAAGCACCTCGGTATGGAGATTTTGTTTGGTACGTGTTCCCGTTTTGCTTGATTAGTCATCCATTTTCCACCTTCACCATCGGATTAACAGTTCGTCTCTAAGCAATCAACACCCACATAAATAACTCGAAAACTGTAATTTACATCTTTTATGACTTGCTTATCTTTGAGGACCTTTCTATATACGACTTTCTTGCTTCTCGAAAATGAAATCAGCGAATTCGACTTCGACTCGCCATAATGTGCATTAACTGGAATACAATATAACGTGGTTTATCAGCAGTCCGCCCATATCACTAGTCCGCCCACTTTTTGACCATTTAACCACTTCAAATTCTAATTAATCAATCATAACTTATTGAATTGATTCAAACTATTAAGAATCTAATAATCTAGGATCTATTATATCATTTTGACAAGTTCTTGAATTATGACTAGTCTTTCCGCACTTACTACAGCATCGACTAGTGGATGATTCCCCATTAGGATTTCCCCCATTTTGACGCTCGTCGTGTTGAATCTGATTATCAACCTCTTGTTGTGATAATATATCTTCAGCTTCTTGTCCAGTAAGTACTCCTTCATTATATAGTTGAATTTTTTTTAGTATATCGACGTTTACTTAATGCCTCATTTGCTCTTCGAAGCATACGATTCTCAGCATTTAAAAGTGTATTCTCATATGCTAATCTCTCTGTACCCTTAGTTAAAGCTTATACAATCTCAAATATAGGTGTAGGAGAGCTTGATTGATAACGAGCTATTCGAGCTTTTATTAAAGTCGATTGTAAGAGAACCTCAATTGGATTATGAGAGATTTGAGAGATCCAGGAATTGGTAAGTTCCAAGAAGGTAGATAAAGGGATAGAAGTACGAATTCTAATATCTAGTTTTGAGAATATAGATTGAGGATCGAATGGTATTAGACCTACTCTTCGAAAACCAGCTTTCATATTCTGAATAGTAAATGATTGTAAATATACAACTTTGAAGGCTATAAAGAATTCAACCTTAATGATATAATTGATATAAGCTTTAATAAATCCTTCAATTTGACAACCATATGAACATTTAAGTATGCCAAAACACCCAACATCGAATAGTTGAATTAAATGACTTGAATATAATAGTAATCTAAGGTATATAATATCATTTGACTTATAATATGATTGAAAAGATATTGATTCGTGACTTTCGTACTCATCCAATACTAGCATTCGATATTTGCCCTTCCTTTGACAAATAGTATGTTTATCGAAATGCTTTAATCATTCTAGGCCTGTCTCATTATTCATCCATCTATTAGAAGTAGGTTTAAAAGCCTAATCTACAGAAAAACCATTTTCGGTATACCAATTAGAAAGGTGATATTGCCCTTGCACCACCAAGAATGGAGGTATAGTCCAACCCTCTCCATTACCACATATAATCGCTGTAGCCCATTCTCGATTGCCTGATTGCATTGCCTTGCTTCTGCCACATCATTCAATACTAATTACAACCATTTCAGGGCATATTATACCCATCATAAAGCTGGTTTCATCGAAGTTATAGAAATCGGAATCGACAATACCATATTTCGCCTGCATATTCGATACCAATCCAAACCACTCTTCAATAAGCTTGGGATCTTTATAGAGAGCTCTTTGAAAATTATAAACGCGATTAAAACACATCTTTAATTCTAGGCATTGTTTAACAAAGTGATGAGCCCAGAGCTTTCCAACCTTCTTCGCACCCCGCGATTTGAGGATATAATTCACCATATCTTCTACACCACTTAATTTAGATACAAACCCTCTCTCATCCATATCGATTATATACTGGATAAGCACTTCTTCTTCTAATTTGGTCAAATTATGACCTTTTGGTCAATAATCAACCATATTAGTACAACCTTTAATTCTATCCCTCAAAGTAGATCGAGGTATATTATAAAGGTTTGCCACTTTCCGAATTGAGAATTGTGGATTAAGTTTAATAGCTTCAATAGCTAAGATAATTCGTACTTCTTTAGAATGAGTTTCCATAAGTAATTATTGATAAAACGCGTATTGAAGTGGAAGAGTTGGAAATGGCCAAAAAGTGGGCGGACTAGTGATATGGGCGGACTGCTGATAAACCACGTTATACGTCTGATCAAGCGAGGCATAATTATTAACATTTGGGCGCGGAGCCTTCCTTTGGAGCTCAATTCCCCTAGGGAAAGTGGCCTGCCATTCTAGATCTGTCTTCTTGTTTCGAGCTCTCCACATGACCACTCCCCAACAGGCCAGATTTATTCCACCGGTATAAGACATTGCGTACGCCAGCGCCATAAGTGCTCCTCCCCTATGCGCTTGTATCCCTGTTGTGTCATCCGTTGATGTAAAAGCTTCATAAAGCCCATGTTCCCAAAGAAAGTTGCAAATCATACTGATCAAGCAAAGAATCGCTATTCCCTAATTTTTCTAGGTCAAAAAGACTGGAATATATGCCACTCCAAGGGAACAACTTACCATCATTGGAATTGCAGCCCACTCTTTTAAAACGTTTCTGAGATATTCAATGCGGGGTACAGATCCTCTTCTCACTTATGTACCTGATCGCCTCAGGATAGCACCGCACAACTCCGCACACCAATTAATGATTGCCAAGTTGACCAGGATATGAATGCAAAGACTCGCAATAGCAGACGAGGCAATCGCGAAAGTCAGAGATGTAGACTTGCTGCTCCTCTGTAATCGATTCTTCAGATCTTGAGGAAATTGGGTCAAGGTGTTATCCATGGGCTTCGAGACGTTTTGGTAGCCAGATGCCGCAGAGAACTGTTTCGTATCCGCCAGGTCATCAGATCCCATGGCGTAGTTCCCTGAGTAGTAACTCAAATGGTAAAAGTAATAGAAGTCGTGGAGAGAGCTTGCTTCGTTTTGTGGCACAGCTTTGAAGGCTCGCATATCGAGAGTTAGAGCGGGAGGTGCCCAAAATGTCATCATCAGAGTCAAAACGAACAAAACCAAAGTCATTGCAACGGAAAAAGTGTAAGGCCCTCTGTCAAGGTATGTGAAGAATGACGATTGCATGATGGATGAAAGATTGTGGAACAATGATATTATGCCGCTATGGTCGAGCATGGGAGACATTCAATTTGAACCAAAGAGATATTTGTTTCTGTCTGATTCACATTCCACCAGTGAATCACGGGAGATTGTTTTGAGTCATTTACCACGAGTTGATGATCAGAATCAGATAAAAACAGACACTCGCATATCTGAAATTTGATCGTGCTTTGTGAACGTTGGAGTAGCTTTTTTAAGAGCGTGATACTCGTAAGACAAACAGCTTGTTGCTTCCTAAGATCTATAAGACAAATAATCTAGTCCATGATAGGAAATGTGATATATACTCAACCCTCAATCTCTAACTGAGCTTGCATTACCGTGCCTCAATGGTTCAACCCATCTTAAGTCGAGAGCTCAATATCCAACTTTGCCTCGAACAAAGGGTTCAGTCCGGGCCATAAAGCTTGCATCTTCTGAATGCATACGGAGCCGGAATCGATAAGAGACAGCTACTCCTCTCATACCAAAGTGATTTCTCTGATTTATTTTTGCCTTTCTAAGTCTCCCCTCAAAACGTTGCACGCGGAGCGAGAGTACTCGTCTGAGTATGTAGCTGCCAACTTCAGTAACCTTATCTAGGGTTCTTCCAATTGGCTGTTTGGTTTACCATTCGTATGCTCAGAATTGGACAGTAGGATAATCCTAGGCCAGCGAATATGCTAACTGTCGAGACGGATGGCATACCTCTGTTATATTCTCAAATCCATAACGTCTAAGTAGGAGTTACCGACCCGTCACTGAGTCGATGTGGCAGTTTACTCCGCACCAGACGCCGAGCACTAATCACAATCTCTGGAGAAATATACTTGGATGGTTCCGCGTAAGTCTATATTGAGTGATTGGGGAAAGATGTATAGGTACTTGGACCAGTAAGTTTAATTGTTTCAATCATCAGAAGCTCTGTTCAGTCGTGTTGTATGCCGATTTGATGATGTTAAAAGGTAAGTCGGTGTTCCAGGGTTCTAGCGTTCAGAGTCACAACACTCCACAACTGAAGTTTCGAAACGTTCGCTAAGCCCGCTAAGCCTAGATAGTCTTAACATGAAATCTTTCACCACTCACCGCCAGCTACGTTGACAACAGACCCATCGTCGACAGCCCCATTTTTGCATAAATCACAAAAATGTACTGATCATGAATAATATGTGATTATCATAATGAAGTTAATGCTACTGATAAGTTAAGAGGGGCAAGTTATCAATAATCCTCACAATCATCTATTGGGGCTGTGAGAGAAAGCACCTCATCACGAGAGACTGCCAACCTCAATTGAACTTTTTATATCTCTCACCAGAATCTTTGAACCCCTCACCGCATCATGATTACTTGATGACTCTTCACAGAGGGGAATATTAGTTCTGCCACTTCTTCCTCTAGTATTTCTTTTCAATTCTTCTTTGCACTCACTTCATACATATATATCCGCCCTGGAGGTTGGCCGTGAGTCTTACCAGTCCTCAAACGCTCAATTGGTATTGATATTGATACTTAATAGTACTTTTCATATTCCTTTCTCGAGATACCCTTACGTCCTATCTACTTTCATTCGTTTACGGCAGAACATCTTAAGATAGACGGTTCACAAAGCGTCGCATCATCGCGAGACGAATTACAAGATGGGACTCGAGAAGCTCTTCGCTGTCGCAGCGCCTAAGAAAGGATCCTCGAAGCCACCGTCCAATGGAACATCCGTAGCACCAATGTATCTTGAGCAAATATTCCGATTTCCTGGAGTTCTAACAGAAGTTTCGTGCGTTGTCAAGAATCTATCAGAAGGCTATACAACATATCAAAATGGGGCGGCACTTAGAAACCAACTCGAATCCGTTGTGCCGGAGGTGCAAACGTTTGCTTCGGGGATGAACCGATATTTGAAGAACAAAAACTTTTTGGATTTATTTCAGACATTCTTGGTGGGAGCAAATGTTGTTGCTGCTTTCATGGAAGTACTACAGGGTTCTTCTGGTCTCGAAGAAATTGGATTGAAGATTTACGGCGAGCTTGAAGCGCAGACGGGTCTTGCTGCCCCAGATAAGTTTGCGAAGCATGTCGACAAATACATCCGGAAAGAGGCTTCGAGTGTTTATGGAGGCGATGCCGAGCATCTCTATTTCCTCTATCACCCGGATACTGATTGGCACGGCGAGTTTCACGATATCGTTCAGAACAAACCGGTGCCAAGTAATTTTGTCGGCATGTCTGAAAACCTTCACGCCCTGTGCACTTGGATGTTATTTATGCGGAAGCGACTAGAGAGATCACGAATCAATGCGCATTTTCATCTTCTCATTCCTGCATACCGACCAATGGTCGTCAGAACGGCTTTCGTATTTCCTGAAGAACTGTACCCTTTAACAGTCCGCGGACACATTCACAATTCGAAAGAATATGTCTGGCTCAATCTTCCGACAATGAAAGATGTTCCTGCTGATTTGTTCGAATTGTCAAATGTGGGAAATATTGCAACTTTGCCCAAGCCACCAGCATTATGGCAGCATGCTCTGACTTGGGTTGGAAGTATGATAATGCCGAGAAAAGAGCCACCCCCGATAATTCTCGGAAGGGGAAACGTAAACCCAAATGCTCCTATTTCGTTAGAAGACAATGAGGATGAAAAGGTCGCGGCTCCCGAGGATATAATCATTCAGCCTGAAACACGACAGGTGATAAGAGGCGAGAAGAGGCGAAAGCATCGAAGTTCAAGACCGAGGAGTGAGCTCAAATAGTATTTAAAGCTTGTGGCTATGTGGGACACTTGGATATCTCGCATTGATTCCAATTGCATTTTAAATTATGTTCGGGGCATTGAAATGATTGCCATGGGAGAAAATTTGAATTTTGCGGAGATACTGATGGGAAGAGAGCGGATGGATAGGAGTGATCAATAGGATACCAATAACGGAAGGAATTACGGTGGGAGGACATTTTTTGATTTTTGCTTGGATAGCTGCTGCATGGTGGAATTGGCGCTCATATGGATTATTAGACGAATGAAATAAATCGCTTCATGAAATGGCCTTTGTAAATTTTTGACACTTTGCTATATGCTACCATGCTAGGCAAGACATATTTACCAGATACTATTCCCACATAAGTTGAATGTTGACGACATACATACGCCGAATTATGATGTCATAAAGTGATGACAATGTAAGATTAACTCATGGGGAAGTTCCCAATATTGAAGAAAATATGTTAGACTTACAAGCTTAGTGTGGTTTTTGCGATAGTATCGTTTTCTGCTGTAGACGGAGTAATAGCTGGGCGGGACGGGACGAAAATTAGTTGTTTGTGGATTATTTAGAAGAATTCTTTCATGAAACGGAAAGTGGGTGGTAGTAGTGGTGGAAGAGAATGGAGGGATCATGTTAATATGAAGTTGGTTAACGAGAAGTTTTTTATGTATGTATTACTTAGATGGAGAAAAGAAAAGGAAAGAGTGCTTTGAAGTTTTAGAGAATACGTTTCTCTCGCAAAGTATTTATTAATTGAGGAGGGATCTGGATTCAGGAGATCGATGCATCTTTTTATTGTCCCTGATAATTAATAGAATGTGGTGGAATAGATGGGATATCTCGAGTTTTTTGTTCTAAATAAATTTAAAATAAGTATTTAGGCATTTATTTGTACTCGGTTCAACTGTACTGAATGATTTATCTACTCTACTATTGCTGAACTACTGGCATTCTGTGTATATTCATTATTTTCAGACATTAGATTTGTTTTTCGCTCAGTCGAAAAATGTTAATTGTGGTAAAATAAACTGGCATTCAAGATATTTGTATCATTACACTATAATATGCTTTGGTTTACTAAAACTATTATCTTTTACGGAAATTACTTGAAGAGCCAAAGATACTTAATTGCTCTTGAAAAGTTTCTTGGCATAATCGAGCGACCAGTAGATGGCTATCAGGGTTCTCCCTCAGCTGGTTCTAAACAATTTTACTTCGTTCACAAAGGTGATGGCAAAAATCAATGAACTATAATTTTGCAAATGCTCAAATGCTCAATATGCTTCATACTAAACTACCCTCGTCTAAAACACCCATCTCTCAAATTCTCACGCACCCGGAATCAACAATACCTCCCCCACTAGAGAACTAGTCATGCTGGCTAATAAATCATCGCTGCTTTTTACGCGGTGATCTCCTAAGCTCCGGCTTTTGACCACCCCCAATCTCAGAGGTTGAGCTAGGCTGAAGATTCAGTAGTCCAGAGGTCTCAGCATCGCCCAGTTTTCCAGCGTCAGTAGTTCCGCCCTTCCCTTTGGTTTGTTTTTTCTTTGGTGTATCTTGGATACTTTCTGGTTCTGTGTCTGTAATGCTCTTCGGATCCTGTTGGCGAGGAGATTTGATGATGCTTGATGGGTTTCTAGTCTCGCTAGGAGCACTAATACTTGTCTTGGTTTGTTTTTCTTTCTGTTCTTTCTTGTCTTTCCATGATTCGTCCACTTTTGCGTTTTGGAGTTCGTAGAAAATCTCCCTTCATGAATCTAGTGTCAGTACGATGAGTAATGCAAATTTCCATGTCATATTTCGAGAGGCTAGATGCTATCTCGACTTGGTTGCAGCAGTGCTATACTGAGGTCTGAGCCGCACTAATAGATGGTAATAAATCTAAGGGAATGCTTACCTCACACACTCTTCACAAACCCTAGACTGTATTTTCCGGACCTCAGCCTCTCGAGATCCTCCTGCGGCAGTATGACTGCAACTTGCCGTGTCACTTCCTTGCTGCCATTCGTAACAAGGGACGCGGATCGTGAGTTTAGATGAATCGTGACCTCGTGCGCACGTCTCAACGATACGGTGGCACATGGTGGCTTAATAACGATCAGTCGATTTGCTTGTGGATAGAAAGTTGAGATATCATAATTGGGAGCCAATGCCAAAAGAAATCTTCATATACTCTACTAGGAAGAAAGAAGATATGGGAAATGCATATGGTGAGTTCTCGAAACTGGTATTGCTGTATTGAAAAATGTGACTTTAAAGACAGAGAACTAGCATATCTTTTCTTTATGTCCATTGAAGATCAATTTATTGTGAAACTTCAGAGTTGAAAGGTATTTGGGGAAATTCTTCATTCAAAGGCCATCTGTAATAGCAAAATTACCTAACAATCCTTTTACTCAAATGAAATTAGAAAGTATAAATGAATAATTTTCTGCTGTGCTTCTTTTTTTTGGTGTATTTGTCTCAATAAATAGTTAATAAGAACCTTCTCACACGCTACAAATGAAATTCGCTAAAATCATTTATATCCCTTAATTAGTAAATCTAGTTCGTTCTTTCATTTGAAATTAGATCTTACAACCAGGCCTCAGGGCCTTTTAGTCAGGGAATTTTAAATCATTGGCCAAGAAGCCAATGATTATTGTTACGAGTTTGAAATATGTATTGATTCCGCTGAAAAGCTCAGGAGATTTCATAGCCATAATAAAGAAAGTACGTAAGATATAGGAGTTAATAGTAGAATTTTACAAAAATCACCTCTGGATTACTCGATATCGTGGAACCATCTCGAAACTAGAAGCTCTTTATTCTCTACTAACAATTCTCCGTCTCATTGTTCAAAATTTCGTATACTTGTGTATCAAATTTCTTTTACACTGTTATCTACTATCCAAAAAAAAAGAAATTGTCAATAATAGATATATGTCCATTTGGCGAGTAGAAAAAGAGAACCTCGATAATAAACAATAAATAGATCTCTCAAATACCGATATCAGTAAAACTTCTTCATATTTTTGAAACTATTCGAATTTCTGCATCTACTATTGTTTATTACTAGATAATATTTGCTCCAGTCGTCTATTGACGGTGCTTTTTAATCATGTTTCTTCTTTTTTTTTCTGCTAGTCATTCCGTCCACCAGTCAACAAATCCCTTCCTGGACGGACGTTTAAAAGTATGGGATGTCAGTGGGAAATAACAATAATGGAATGCTGTGCTTCTGCGAATGTATATCAATCTTTCTCTAATATCTCCCGACTTATTGGTTGTCCCCCGCTCAGAATACCATGGGATTATTTGAGGATGGAAATTGAGTTTAGGGTCGTCCCTTCAATTACAGTCATTATCCCTCATTTCGATATCAGGCAATTCTCTCCCCACCTCTAAGCCGCTGCATTAGTTTACGAGTATTTCACTGCTATCACACAGGTAAAAATTTCTATACAAGAAATTACTTTCAAGTAATATTAAGAGGTGGTAAAATCTCAGCTCCTAGACATTTGTTGTAAGACTTACTCCTTTACCCAAATTTAATCCTTACTCATTTGCACGAAATCATAACCCAGATTCTCTCCTCCTGATGGAATATCTAGAAATATGATATGTTATTCAATATTATCATTGTTATCTTCCATTACATTATCCCCTACAGCGATCTGTACTACTACCGCTGCTTCTTCAACGGCGACAAACTTCAGAGTATTGAAGTTTCCTATCTCCAGAACTCTACGCTGGCATACAATTACTAGAAGATATATCAATCATTATGATCTAGACAATTAGACCCAGCTACCGATTGGCCCACCGTTCCTATCAGGATAGAGATAGCTTCCTCCCTACACCAAAGATCAGTACCAATCTTATCTCTTAAAATCCACTCAGCACATCTACTCACACCGAGAACCATAAGAAAAAGAATACAAATACAACATACATAAAAAGCACCACCGAAGGATACCGCCCGAAACGAATTCTCATCCAGCATAAATCTACATCCACATCTATGGTAGAAGGACCGAACCAACTCACAACATAGAAGAGGTAGCATGAGACAAATTGGTTTGGTAAGATCTTCTAAAGATTAATTCCTATGAGAACGCTAAAGTAGAAGAGCATGCGCAGACTCCGAGGTGGAAGTTGTGTATTTTGTGGGATATTTCTTATTTTCCATTACGAAGTTGGAAGGGGTAAGATAGAGAATGATGATTTGTGAAATAGTAGATTAATGGTTATTTATGTAAATAAACATATATTGGTTGAGAAAAAAAAAAGGTAAAAGGTTCCTAACCTAATCAAATACTAACACACGACCGACCATAGCAACCTCTCGAAAGAATAGTACAACATAATATCCCAAAGCCCAATAGTATAACTACCAACTACATAATCAAAATCCTATTCATATCCGCGAACTATAGACCCCTTACCATTATATACACCACAAACACTTTTCCAGCCCTCAGCCTCTCGCTTTTGATATCTAATCTTTCAATGACCACGTTCAAGCTAGTCTGAGCAGTAAAATGGAAGACCTCCAACTCACGAGGAAGAATATGCCTGTATATCATGTATGTCTGCTTTTGTAAGGTTAACTAGAACCGCATACGATAAAACACTTCTCCAATTAAAGAATTACAGGAATTTATGTTTTTTTTAAAGATAAGTTCCATATACAAAGTAAACAGCGAAATGAACTATCATATCTTGGATCAGGAACAACAGAAGTGAGAACTACTCAGCCCCTTGAGAAGCAGCTATGAAAAGTCACAAGCTCAACTTCACAGCTAAACACCAAAGGCTGAAAGACACCGGAACTCGCCGATAGCCCTGCTCATAATAGCGGAAGAGAAACCAGATGAGAAACCAGATAAAAACTCGTGTAGAATTCCTCACAATCTTCATAATCGAAGGGCAAAAAAAATAAAAAATATCGGTGGATATTATACGATAACATTTATTCTGACACGACCGTATAGCTGGAAATCGAACTGATGTTTTGTTTCCGCGAGGCGGAGTGAGGTGAGGGGTGGATACTGCACTGTATGATTTTCCTTCCGTACGGAGTGAGCGATACAGGATTTAACCAATGAGATACACATATTCATGATTGAAAACACAGCCTTAAATACCAATACCCAACTCCCGAGGATATGTCGAGGTTAAACTAGCAGCCTTATTATACTTGACTTTTTAATCTCTCAGCTAATCAAATAATATTGGGCACTTGTCGATCTAAAAGCCTAAAAGTTTATCTATACGTAGTTACTCGAGTACAGGACAGTACACGGATTGCGTGCAGGCTGTGTGCACTATGTGGTTCTACTCGGTCTTCTACCGATAAATTAAATTCTATTTCTTTTTTCTGAAACTTAGCCTGTGAATATCTTTTATATACGGAATATGTGTAATCTTTCATAGGTTTCTGAAGCCTCGAAACGCCATTGCTATTTGACCGCTCAGGTGGCGGTTGAAGGACTTGGTATTACTTTCTAGCTGGGCGTTGGTTTGATTTGTTAAAGCATCCGCATGTTCCGTTTTCTTGTGGCGCAGTATCCTTAGCATTAACTACCGGGTGGGTGTCTTTTATAGATGTGTATGCGGCTCTGTTGAAGGCTGAGGAATATACAGAGTATACGGGAAACTAGTTACACATCAATATGACAGTTGTAGGTTCATTTTGTACGGAGGAGAGTTGTACGGAGGAGAGTTGTACGGAGGAGAGTTGTACGGAGGATGGAGTATAGGAAGTTTGATGGAATTGTTTGGTAAATGTACGAGTGCGTCATCGTCATCCATTCGCTTTTTTTTTTATTTGGGCCAAAAGTTTAATTTGATGCAGAAGTTGGTCATTTTTCGCAGGGGTAGGCCTCAGTTAGAACAGTGCTGTAACATTATGATAAGGTTAAGGTTAATATGTGAAGAAGTGTGAAGAATGAATGAATGAATAATTGAACATTCGAGAGGTTGGGAGAAATGAGAAGACTTAATACTGGTATAAAACTGATATTTAAATATTAATATTAAGGTAATAATTGATTAGCACATGGGTACGAGGAGATTGTCTAGTACTTGAGTCATATTGATCAGATAGCTATCTACCTCGTAGTCATATATCCAACATTTCTACCAGGTGAGTTGTGCGTCGAGAAAGTCTCAAAATGCTTCATGAGGTGGTATCACGAGTCCTAGACTTGACCATTGTGGTTGAGTGGTAAGCGTTGGAATTTCGGGATGGTTGTCACGGTTCCTTCCAGAAAATAACCCAATGACAAATCCCAGCGCTACGAATTCTAATATCTTCCCATACTTCAAGGTTTTTATGGTTGAGATAGGTACCCAAGGAGGAGTCTTAGACGCCCGAAAGCCGAAAGATATCTCTGTCTTTCTGTCTGTGATTATGAAATTCCTTCTTGTCTTCTGTTGAGTTGTGGGTTCCAGAAGAAAAAAAGCTTGACTTCGCCCAATCCATTTATGTACACTGACGCAAATTTCATGTCCACTTTCCATCCAAAGTCCCCGCAATCATAATCGCTTGACCCCCCAATTACCGTATAATTTAAAGAATCACCCCTCACTGTCGAAAGATTCTGATCAGCGTCATCGGGAGAGATTTAATTATTCATTGACTCAATAACCTATATAAATATTCTTCGGTACCACGAGATGTATTCATACATATAGACTCATTGGCACATGAGGCGGTAGAACCAACCAACCACACACAAATCCTAATCGCTGCAACCCATTCACTAGAAAGCTCGTGTCAGGAGGGGCAACAGGAGGACGGCGCCCAAAGCATCAGCAAAGCCTCGATCGAACAGGGCTATTCTTCCCATCTTCCAAGTAATCCTTCAACAACACCCCAACCCCCACCAACAGAAAACATCTTCCTTTCTTATTATTTTATTAATCTTTTACAACCTACAAATCTACTCACAAAACATATTCACTTGTCTACGAAAACATATACAATTTACCCTTACTTTTTGGCAATAATCACAGGGTAACTAGAACAAAATGCCTGAAAGAGTTGTTCGCAGCTCTTACCATGACCGAGAGGTCGACTATTATTCCTCCGATGAAGAACGGTCTTCCTATGGTCGATCCAAAGGAAATGGTAGCACTTATCGCACTGTCCAACGCTACCGAGTCGCACCAAGTCGAGGTGAGGAAGTAGATGATACTCGATCTGTTCGTTCTTCTCATCGAGAGTACGAAAATCGACAAGGAGATCGGATCGAAGTGGATCGTCGAGTCGAAATTGATCGCGAACGTGAACGATATGATCCAGAGCCACGATATGAACCGGAAAGACCCCGATCATCAATCGACTATGACCGAGCTGTCGAATACCAGAGAACTACCGTTGAGCGAGCTAGAGAACCCGAGCGTGAACGGGACCGCACTAGAACAGTAGTTTATGAGCGGGAGCGGGAACGAAGTGGTAGCCCCTTGCCTTGGGAACGGCGCCGCAATGATAGACCGTGGGAAACGGAACGAGATGTCCGGGAAACCCGCGAGACCGATGTTACAGTCGAGAAAACAATAGCTCGACGTCATAATGAACCATATGAAGTCGAAAGATACTCTCGAGAAACAGAATACTATGATGTACCTGAACCTACCCCACCACCGATTATCATTCGTCAAAGAGTTCCGGAACCTCAACAAATTATTGTTCAAGAAGCGCCAAGCCCCGCTCCAATTATTATACCACAACCTGCACCAGAATCACAACGTATTGAAGTTATTGAAAGAAAGTCGGAAGTACAACAGGAAATTGTTCCACGACCAGAGTCACGCAGGGAAGAAGATGAATACTATTATCGCAGAGATGTTCGTGAGATCGGTGGAAGAAGAGACAATGAAATGGCTGCTTATGATCGCCGAGATAGTCGTTACGATGATGGATACGAAAGTGAAGACTATGTTGTACGAAAGAAGGTTGTCAAAAGAGAAGCGCGCAGCCGTAGCCATAGTCCTCATCATAGAAGACATTTGGCCGAAGGTGCTTTAGCTGGAGCTGGTGCAGCTGCTTTGTTAGCCAACCATAGGGAAAAGCAAGGTGTTGAAACAGCTCGTGGCAGATCAGTCATTGGTGGGGCTGCTTTGGGTGCGATCGGTGCTGAAGTAGTTACAAGAGCACGCAGTCGATATCGCGATAGTCGAGAAGATCGAAGTAGATCAAGATCAAGCAGTCCACATGGTCACCATAAATTGAAGACTGCCCTTGGTCTTGCTGCTGCTGCGATTGCCGCTGGAGCTGCTGTTAAGTATGCCCAAAATCGATCTGCAAACAAAGAAGAATCAGTTCGCGGTCGAAGCCGACAAAGAAGTATGTCTCGTGGTCGACGATATTCTGATGGGGATGAGTATTGGTCCGACGAGGTGTACGAGAAGCGTACTATACGAACACGAACGGGAAGCGGGAGCAGGAGTAGAAGCAGGAGCAAGAGCGTACATGCTGATCCAGCACACCGTAAGAAGTCTATGGCAAAGGCTGGGGCTGGAGCTGCTATAGCTGCTGGTGTTGCAGAACACTTCCGAAACAAATCTCGCAAACGTAGTGGGCAAAGATCTCAGTCACGAGTACGAACTGCTGCGGAAATTGCTGGATCGGGTCTTGCAGGTGCTGCAGTCGCCGGATTATACGAGAATAGAAAAGCTAAGAAGGAAGCTGAGGAAGATGAGGAGCATGTGAGACGAGAGAGAGTGAGAGTGAGGAGTAGAACTAGGAGCAGAACTAGAAGCAGGTCGAGAGCCAGATCTACTGGAGTTTATTCTGATCCAGGTGTTGACCCAGAATTAGGCATGGTTCAGTACGGTACTGAACCCGTACACACGCACCAGCAGCCGGCACCATACGATCGAACCAACGAACACGATTCAGCTGTCGCGGCGGCCGCAGCTGGAGCTGCTTACGGTGCTTCGAGACGTAGTCGAAGTCGATCCCGTCAACGAAAACGCGATTCATCGAGCGACGATGAAAAACGACCACGATCACGAAGTAGGAGCCAGAGCAGGGTCAGAGATCTAGCCGCTGGTGCGTTGGGAACGGGTGCGGCCGCTATTGGTATTGATCAATACAGAAAGAGAAAAGAGAAAAAAGAAAAAAAAGAAAAGAAGGACGCAGAGAAGCATGAGCGTGAGCGCGAACGAAGACGTGAGGACCCCCAGCACTCAAGATCAAGTTCCCGTTCGGTATCACCGTCGGAAATAAGATCGTCTTTATCCAAAAGATTTTCGAATCTCATTCCTAAAACCCCTCAATGATTATGTATTTCCATTTTCATTTTCATGTCTCTAGGTACTTCAAATATTTGTCAAATCATTTGTTCGAGTGGGTCGACATCATGTATCTCTTTCTTTTATACTGACATTCGTTTTTTAATCAGGTTATGAAGACGAAGCATCACCTGAAAGTTACTACACAAATTTCCGTGATGATACATATTCTCCTTCGCCGCCTCACGCTTCCGGAAGTTCATACTATCCTGACAACAATCAATTTCCACCACCTCCTACCTCAGTCCCACAAGGTTTTACCCGTCATGGAAATCAATCTTCACCTTTTGTTAATGAAATACCTCCTATTCCTCCCTACAATCCTCAAGATTATGCAGGTCGACGTCCTAGTACTCATGAACCTCATGTCAATTACCCACCCTACCCACCTTCATCCAGAATTCCTGGTGACAATGTGAGTACTTATCAATCTTCGAATTCCGAACCTCTTATGACAGTACCTCCCCACACAAGAGATGAATCTTATTTCCCTATTCATGAAACCTCTCCACCTAAAACTGATCATGTTTACGACCGGGAGGGTGCGTCTTGCTTCTAATATCTCTTTCCTTCCGTACAGCATATTCTCGTAAATCCATCCATGTACTAATATACACGCCTCAACAGATCGTCTAAACAACTCAACGCCTACAACGCCCGTGACCCCAATCGACGCCAATCCTTCCAACAAATCCGTCATGTTCGCCCCTCTATCTCCCACTTCTTCCCGCCGCTTAGAACGTATTCGCAATTCCAAAGCAGACCAATCAACCTCCACAGTTAACACGTATGAGCAACCAAACCCATCTTCTGACCGTCGTTATCGCAGAAGAAGAAGAAACAACTCAGATCCTTCTTCTGATCGTCCTTCAAGACCTCGTAAACATCGAAAGCATAGGAGCGGAAAAAATAGTGATCAAAGTGCTAGTGAGAAGAGTGAGGCAAGTGATGAGGATGTTGAAGTGCTACCGGAAAGGTTTGATAGAGAAGGAAAACCTCTAGGTAGGGATGCGAGTAGAGAGAGGGATATAGCGAAGGAATTCGGTGGTGGAAATGAAATTGTTGAGAAGGTTGTGCGGGGTGTTGGGGAGGTAGTCGCGGGTAAACAAACGTGGGGAGATTTATTGATGGGGTTTGTTAAGGAGGGGGGATTAGCTGGTGGTTCGGCTACGGATCTATCGGCTGATGAGAGGGGAAGGGAGAGGGGGAAATCTAAGGATAGGGGAAGGAAAGACAAGAGGAGTAGGAGTAGAGGGGGAGAAAGGGATTATTAATATCTCTTGGGTACATGCACGGGTTGGATCTCGGAGTTGTGATTTCTTTTCATCTTCTTTTGTTCTTTTTCTTTTTTGTTCTTCTCATTTTTTCGAGATGCATGAATGCCTAATGATTTTACGGCCGAGAAAATGCCATACATACATATTATCAATTTTTTTCTTTTTTCCTTCTGCTTTTTAGTTTTAGTTTTTAGTTTTTGTTTGTTTGTTTGTTTGTTTGTTTGTTTGTTTGTTTGTTTGTTTGTTTGTTTGTTTGTTTGTTTGTTTGTTTGTTTGTTTGTTTGTTTGTTTGTTTGTTTGTTTGTTTGTTTGTTTGTTTGTTTGTTTGTTTGTTTGTTTGTTTGTTTGCCTTGTTTGTTTGTGTTCTGCATTGGTTTTTTTTTGGGTTGGATTTTATGCATGGAATTTTCTGCATTGGATTTCATTTTTTTTATTTTTTCCATATCTTTTCATGATTATGATTATGATTACGATATCTATGATGTCTTCATTTCATTTTGATGGATGAATAGGATGGGATGTGATGCCGAAATGCGAAATGGGAAATGGGAAATTGATACGATTATTTTATTTTATTTTTTTACTCTTTGCGGATGGGGATACCCCGATTGGATATGATATAATAGGATAGGATAGGATAGGAGGAGAGATGATATAGAATATGAATGAATAATGAGATTCTTTTCTTGCGGCATTGGATGTCTAGATGCTTGGATGTGTGTACGTGATTCAATGGGTAAATTTTGAATGTATGGAATTCGGTACATGTGCTTTTCTACCATTCAATAGGTATGCTATGGTATGCTATGCTTTTTGTGTATATGTTATCTACGTATGTGTTTGACCTTTGGTCTGGGTATCATCGCTCAAAAAAATGTTAATATAATGACTGCTTTTCTAAATGGATTAAACCGTTCGCTGGCTGCATATGAAGAGGTTAGTTAGTAGGTAAACTTATGCTTTAGGATACAGATATATCAGATGGAAAATAGAGGTTACACATACGGGAATAAATTGTCTTAACTTAACACCCGCCTGTCCAAATACCGCTGCTGTTTCCGCATCCATACTATATCCCTGACTATAGACCACCTCTGATATTCCTACTTGTACAATCTTGATACTGCATGTTAAACAGGGACATGTGTCGCAATATAGAATGGCGTTTTCTCGAACTCGTTCTCTGCCGGCTTCGAGAAGTGCGTTTTCTTCTGCGTGCAGACAGAGACATGTGCCCAGTCCTACTCCGCAGCTTTGTCCTTCGTTACAGCGGGGACAACCTCCTTCTCCGCAGTTTAGTAGTCCTCGTGGTGTTCCGTTGTAGCCGGTTGAGATGACTCGTTTTTCGCGGACGAGAACGCATCCTACGCGCCGTTTCATGCAGTTACTACGCTGGGCGGCGAGGGATGCTAGTTGCATGAAATATTGATCCCAGCTTGGTCGGAGACGCTCCTCGTTTGTGAGATCGAGTTTTCCGAGGGTAGCGTATAGATGCGCGAGATCGGATGAGGTGTTGAGGAGACGGATGGTGGCGCGGGATATGAGGGATTGAAGACCGTGTTGGGGATCGTAGAGGTGCTGGTCGGAACGGAGGAGGAAGTCTTCGAGGGTTAGGGGTGGAGAGGGTGGATTGGGTCGTGCTTGGAATCTTTTCCAGCGGATCGAGACGGGGGCGTCGACGCTGACGAGGATGAAGAATGGGCGTCGGAGAAGCGCGTCTAGGATAGCCTCCGTGTAGATGTTGGTTGTTACCCAGCGTTCGCGCCAGCGCTTGGTTACAAAGTCTAGGAGGTCGGCGGTGCTGGTGAAGGTATATTGCGATTGCGATTGAGGGACTGGTTTTCGGCTTACGGTTATGCCGTTTTCTTCAATGTCTGATTCTCCGTTTGTGATACTGTTACCGTTGCTTATTCTTTTAGAGCTTTTGTTGGTCTGCTCTGGTCGGAGGTAAAGGTGAGTAAACCCATGGTGCTCTACGAGATATTGTGCTATTGTACTCTTGCCAGCACATATTCCTATTGTAAAATTAGTTTTGTACTTGATACCTGAATTGGCTTGGGATATTCACTTACCTCCACAAAGACCTATTAACATGATTATAAACCTTGTTTCTCCTGTCTGAAAGTGTAGGTTTATGTACAGCTTGACCACAATTGTAGGCTTTTCCCCAATTGTGTGAAGATGTGTGGAACGAGGTATTGTCGATTCTACTGGCAGATTGAAATAGCAGAAGCAGCTCATCGAGAAACAATTAGGAATCTACCGGAGTTTCGCCGATTGGCTGATTATATAAACTCTGAGCATGTGAGTTGCATCCTTGTCTTATACATCATCCCCACCACATTACCAACCCAACTGCCCCTCCATCTATCTCATGATTTCAACCTAAGACTGTTGAATCATCCTTCTTTAAATTTTACTTAATTCATAAAAGATCTTCATCCCTCTTAAGTTATTGTCTCAACTCCCGACAAAACATCAACAAAGCTGACCAAAATCCTTTGATCCAAGAGCCAAGATTGTACTCAAGATACCGACGTTTCCTTTATCGAAGAAGGCTACTGGGACGGAGAGGTAGAAGAGCTAATAACTTCATTTTCTACTATCGAAGAGCTCTACGAAACACTTCACGCCAGGAACGATAACAATAAAATCGATATGGCTTTAAAATTTGCCCCGTTTGCTTCTGAAATAGAGCTACCATTTTACACAGCTCTTTCCCAGTTGAAAATCGATCATGATAAGTTAGATGATTCTGCACGACCGGTTCTCGGGTTGTATGAACCAAGGGCTACACAAAGTCCTGATCAGAGTTCTCGTATGAGAGTTCTTGGTAATGCTTTAAGTAGCACTGAGTAGGATTCATTGTCGTGTTTCAAATACGCGTGCTGATTTATCCGTAGAGTTCCCCTGGGTCATATTCGGGCTGAGGGTATAATCAAGAATGTCAACACCATCGAGGACTTTAAGAATACGGACAAACAGGCAATGTTACAAACTTCTGCCAAACAGGTGAGTCTCGTGATTTTCCGGACTACTCGCTTCGATTCAGTTCTGACAGGGGCAGATTTGGGATGCTATTAATGATGGCACCATTTATTCTATTCCTTCATTACTTTCTTCATTCACTATTTTGTCTTTTGCAAATTTGAAGAAATATACTTTTACGTACTGGTTTGCTTTTCCTGCTCTACATTCGGAGCCGGCATGGAAGAAAGTTGAGCAGCCGCCCAAATTCAGCGCTGAGGAGACCACGGCGCTTACGGAGGAGCTTGGTACGTGGCGTTATAGTCATGATAATAGAGAGCATGGATTCTTCCTAGCCAAGCGAGTATATCCTTCATTGGAACAGCCCCAAGATCCGGAAAACGAGTCGAACTCCGATTTGCCATTTAAATGGGTTATTGGATCCTTAAGAGAATTCGAAGATGGTTTCTTCAATGGCGTAGATGCAAAAGACCAATACGTATCTTTCGTCGATCCGTCTACTTACCTCGAAAATCCAGGGTGGATGTTACGTAACCTTTTAGTTTTGATTAGACGCAGATACAAGCTCGATAAAGTCCAGATACTTTGCTACAGAGATAATCATGCAAAACGGCATGTGCCCCAAAGCTTGATCTTAGTTTTAGAGAGTATCTACGACCCAGAATATCAGTCCACTGGCCCTGATGAGACGCCTAAAGTCACGGGCTGGGAGCGTAATAGTCTTGGGAAGCTTACTGCGAAAGTCACCAATTTGGCTCAGTATATGGATCCGGCTCAACTTGCCGATCAAGCGGTTGATCTTAATCTCAAATTGATGAAATGGCGCATTGCACCTGAATTGGACTTGGATGCTATCAAGAACACAAAATGCTTATTACTCGGAGCTGGAACCCTTGGGACATATGTTTCGAGACTACTTATGGGTTGGGGAGTGCGCAAGATTACCTTTATCGACAATGCATCTGTTTCATTTTCAAATCCGGTCCGGCAGCCATTGTTTGATTTCAAGGATTGTATAGATGGTGGTGCCAAAAAGGCATATCGAGCAGCTGAAGCTCTACAGGAAATTTACCCAGGGGTTGACAGTACTGGACATGTAATGTCAGTGCCCATGCTTGGACATCCAATTACAGATGAAGCTGCTACCAAAATGGACTTTGAACTTTTACAAAAGCTCGTTGAAGATCACGATGCAATCTTCTTGTTAATGGATACCCGGGAGAGTCGATGGCTTCCAACCGTTATGGGAAAAGCAGCTGGAAAAATTGTTATGAATGCAGCTTTAGGATTTGACACGTATGTCGTGATGAGACATGGGGTTACTCCAGAAGATGGTGGACCTGCTGCGCTTGGTTGTTACTTTTGTAATGATGTTGTAGCGCCATCTGACGTAAGTATTCAATTTCTTTCTATGAGTATATCATTTGCTAACGCTAGTGTCACAGTCCGTGAAAGATCAAACTCTTGATCAACAATGCACTGTCACTCGGCCGGGTGTGGCTCCTGAGGCATCTTCCAAACTTGTAGAACTTCTTGCTTCAGTTCTTCAACATCCACTGCGCGGTGCTGCACCAGCTCCAAAACTCTCGGCAAATCAACAATCAGGCCAGATGGAATTCGATCGTGATCCACCCAATCATCCTCTAGGTCTTGTGCCTCATCAGATCCGAGGTTTCTTGTCCGCTTACAAGACAATGCTAATCAGCGGTCCTTCGTACGACTGCTGCTCAGCCTGCTCACCAAAAATTGTGAATGCCTACAAAGAGGACGGATGGGAATTCATCAAGCGCGCATTAACTGAGAAAGATTACATCACAGAATTGAGTGGGCTAGCAGAAGTTCAACGCAAAGCCGAAGAAGCAGCAAATGATGTAGAGTGGGATAGTGAAGAGGAGGGTGTGGAGGATGAAGAGGCCGAGTTACTTTAACCTTGAGCTTTATATATGTTTTCGGACATTGGAGTGGCGTTTGCGCTTGCGCTATACCTGGGATTGTTATTGATGGTTATGATTTATGGTTGTTTTGGCGTTTTGTAGATGGTGGTGGAGGTTATAGATGGGTGGTGGGATTGAAATAGCATTCTATGGGAGAGGAGGTGAGGTTAGCTTTTGGTTGGCGGGTTTCTTTGATACTTTAGAATTGTTGGTCCGATGATTGCAGCTATTCAGGTATTCGAGGATCGGAGGATTCGGAATAATGAAATGGGTTTTTGAAAGGGGCATGATATTATGACGCATTTTTGTGGAAGTGAAATGTAACTGTTCAATTTGTATGTGTACATGTCATTCCGGCTGACTTTGCTCATTAAACTATTGATCTTCTACAAGTAATTCGGCTTGAACAATAAACTGTCTGTTTCGGGACTCTATGATATCGATTGGTGCATGTTAATTTCATCCTCCGTTTTCACTAATTCGACATTATTGGAGAATATTTCTTTTTTATTAGTTACTCTAAAACAAAACCTTCGTTTTCGGAAGCGGAGTGTGAGGTTGACAAGCCGTGGGGGTTAATTTAGTGAGGGGTAGCTTCCTCATAGCAATGATTGGCTAAATTTTGGCGTGCTACTAAACGGGAGTTGCCGCACATTTTCCAAGCTTCGACTGTCAATGACAAAAAAGTTAATGAACACCTTGAAGCTTCATGATTTGTAAATCTTCCCATTATATTGTAAGTCATCAAATTTTTACTTTTTTCTGTGACTTGCGCTAATTCTTTGATTATCAGAATCTGTATAACTCATCACCGTTTCCTAATTATGCGCTCTCAATTAACCCGCAGAGTCTTCCGTGGACTTCTGTCAAACGAAGGCCTCATATTACCATGCGCGAATAGAGCACCAGCTCTATTAAGGCATCGTCGTCGTCGAAATTTCATTCCCATTTTACCTTACAAATCCCATCGTTCTCTCTTCGGGTTCTCGCGGAAACCTCCTCGACAACCTAAACAACCGGAATTGGAACCGGGAATGAGAAAGATGGCAGAGTTTAGCTTGATGACGAGAATTCATGCCAGAACTGCGAATAAGGATGATATGCTGAAGGCTTTTAACGAATATTTCAATCATAAAGTCAATACAGAACGAGCGGTTAATAATATTGAGGCGGGACATGCTTTGAGGACTTTGAATTATCTCATTAGTTGTGGATTAGGAAAGGAACATGTCAATGACCTGAGGATGGCGTTGAGGGCATTGACAATCATTCCTAATGATGACACGAACGATTTTCTGGCCTTGGCGAGACTTCTCTTTCAGGAGATCAAAAAGTTGTCTGGGTCTAACGAGGATGCGCCGAGTTTTCAATTTATAAAGATATTGAGTGGCGTTGGACAATCTTCTGAGGCGAGAGAGCTCTGTGAAGAGGTCACTCAACGCTTTTTAGAAGAACAAGAAACGGCTCCTCAAACTGGAGTATTGGTATCTCGACAACGACAATTGCTGAAAATGAACTGGTATGCGGTTTTATCTGGTTTCGCACGAGAAGGTAACGAGGCCGAGCTTTTGAAGACATATAAGAGATTTGATGAGCTGCCATTGGGGCGTGGGAAGACGAGCAATGAAATTGTCATAAAGTTTTATACCTCGAGAGACCGTGTTGCGGAAGTACAAGCATGGTTTGGAAAGGCTGCATATGTTCCGACAGACCTCAGTCCGAGTATATTGCAAGACATACTGAAATTCTGTCTTCGACATGAGGAGCTGCTAGATTGGTGTAAAGGAATCTTTCGTAAGGTACTGGAGGCAGGTCGAATGCAGAAAGGGAAATGGGACGTCGTGTTTCAATGGGCCGCGAGTGCTATGGACAAAGGGGTTGAAGATGTGGAACGCATGATGCGTGTTATGGAAAAACGCAATCCGGACGATCCATCTATGAGACCGGACATCGATACCATCAATGGTTTAGTCGAGTACGCAATATCAAAGAACGATCCATATCTTGCAGAACGTTATATCGCATTAGGGCAAAAATTCAATATCCGTCCAAATGCAAGAACATTTATTCTACAGATGGACTACCGGGTTGGTGCAGGCGATCTTTCCGGCGCTCGAGCATCTTATAATTCGCTCCAAGCAGAGGAGATTACCAAGGACGAGGATCTGCCTGTTATCAATAAATTCGTCCGAGCTCTCTGTGCTTCAGAGGTTCTACCTTATAACGAGATTTCATCAATCGTTTCCGATCTGGACGAACGTAATGCAAGGTTAGAAGCTGACACGGTTTCGTCACTAAGCAAAATGTATATTACCCGCAACGAACTTAATGAAGTTGTGGATTTATTACAAGTTAATACTTACCACTATACCCTGTCAGAGCGAACTCGAATATGCGATGCATTACTTGCTTTTGTCTTTGACAAGAATAACAGCGAAGATCGTATTTGGGATGCTTATCGTGTTGTTATTCATATCTTTGACGAGACTGATGTTCCCACACGTACGCGAATCATGAATGAGTTTTTCGATCGCAAAAGATCAGATATGGCTTGTCATGTCTTTGGGCATATGCGCCAGCATATCAATCCCAACAAACGTCCTGTGCGAGACACTTATATCGATTGTTTTGTTGGTATAGCATCATGCGCAGATGGCGAGTCTCTTGATATGGTTCACAATATGTTGAAAATGGACAGTACCATTGAACCCAATACACGTCTTTACAATTCTTTAATGCTGGCTTATACAGCTTGCGAAGATGCTAGTCGATCTTTACATTTCTGGGATGATATCACGAATTCTCGTGAAGGGCCTAGTTATAAGAGTTTGGAGATAGTATTTCAAGCGTGTCAGAGGAAACCTTTTGGAGATCGACCAGCGAGAGAAATTTGGGATAAGATGAGGAGAATGGAGATTGAGATTACCAGAGAGGTTCATGCTGCTTATGTTGGGGCATTGGCTGGACAGGGAAAGCTCGATGAGGTTAAAGTGTTAGTGGAGGCCATGGAAAAGGATTTAGGGTTTGGTCCGGATATTTTGACGTAAGTTATATTATGATTTTGCTCGAGAATCGTGACTAACAATTACAGTATCGGTACTATATACAACGCAATCCAAGGTTCGAATAGGAAAGATTTGGTGGCGGAATGGACAAAGGAGTTATATCCTGAGGTATGGAAGGAGGCGGAGAAATTGGGATTTTATGAACATGAAGAGGGTCATATGGTATTGAAAATGCCGGAGAAGAAACTTAAAGCTTAATGCTTGAGGTTGTAAGATTTTCATAGATACTTGTCCAATATTGAAATCCTTGAGTACATAGTTGAGATGGCGATTAGCTGGTTCTTAAAGTGTTCTTCATGAAGTGTTTGTGTTGGCATTGCTCGTATCCACACATAACTCGGTGGTGGTGCGTTTCAAGGTCTCTGACCCCTATCATCTATCGTCAATTCCAACTTTACACCTATTTCTATCTACTCATTACCAGACCAAAAATACGCCGCGAAGAAATATACCCCAAATACAAGCAGATAGTTATTCATCTCTACGCTCATAAAAATAATGGCAATAAATCTAGTGGTTTATCGATTGCTAATACTTGTCTAAATATTTCTGAACTATTGTTCCCTTTTTCGGCTATTTTGCCACCTTTACTTACCCCTTTAAGCGAACTCCAGATTGTTTACAAATCATAATACTGATATTAATGTTTGAGACAAGATTAATTTTGTTGATTAATTAGTCTAATTATTTTGTAATAAGAAATAACAAATACAGTTTGATTAATTCTTCGCTTTCAAGTCAGCATGGGTGAAAGTTTTCCGAAGACAGTTGTAGAGATACTAGGAGCGGACAGGCAGATTTGTATTCGAGATCTGAACGCGGTGGAAGGAAGCACTCAACTTGATATTCTCAACAAGTGCAGCAATTTCTTTAGAAAACTAAAATATTTCAGAACAAATCCATTTTAAGAATGGCTTATAGTAGCATTTGACCGTTACGATCACTTGGTCAGCGAAAAGTATATAGCGGTATGTGTCACTTCGATGACATTGCTCAAAGCCATAGCGTATTTTGGTGTGAAGTAGACAAAAATTTTAACTTAATAAACCTGTTTTCTTCATTTGGTAGACGGTAAAGCTTTCTCCTTACGAGAAGCCAAAATATGGGAACCATTGATACTATTCGAGTTTTTCTACAAAACATATCCTATTGGGTTTATTGAGACTAGAAAAAGCATCCCATTGAATTGATTGATTCTCTAGCTAAGCAGTTAAGCTGCGAGTATATATTCAAAAAATGAAGGAATAAGGTTAGGTATTCGGCCTTCGGAATTAAAGTGCTTTGAAATCAAAATATTGAAAGCAAACAAGCAGTATACCAAAAAGGAAAGAATGAATTAAAAGTTGAGTTTTGTTTGCTCCTTATATGCATCATGCAATATATATGCATATGCTGCCAAGATCCCAGGAGGTCAACATATCCCATTTGTAGCCAAGGTTCTAGTATGCAGGCAAACCGCATATCAGGACAGAATGGTAATACCCTTGTGCTTTTAGGATTGGTTGAGTCTAGCCTGGCAGAGACGTTACCTTTGAACGAAGTCAGACAAATTCACGTCAACTCTAGGATGCTTTCAACAATTGACGAGACTTATGTTAATGTGGTAATGCCGGAAGGCTGAAGGCTTTCTTATTCCAAGGATAGAGAAATTGAGTCGCCTATTTAGTTTGAGCTACAATATTTTGGGCGGGCTGTATCCAAAGATTAAATATTCTGGACCGGAATGACGAATGCGGAGTTGAAGGTACCTAGTTTGACGAGACCTTGCCGTTTTTCTGGCTAGATCAGCTTCGGGTAATGGGTTGTTTCTATGTCTATAGCTAGCTTTCCATGTGAGGTCATTTTATGCCTTTCTTGTGTACAGTACTTGCGCACAGCTGTCCGTCGTTGTTACGTCGGACAGTAACATAGGTCACGTTCTTGATCATATGATCAAGAAACCGACAAATCGAGATCGGTTTTGCGGTGATCGAATTGTCGGGTTTGTAGCCATCGGTTTTTAACGAGGCACGAAGGTCTATATAATCAAGATGGATTTCCTTTGTATAGAGCTTCGTGCTCAAGATCAATCATTTAGTATACTCTACTATTAGTTACGAATTGCATTATTGTCATTACTTTAAGTCCCTGCTTGACGCCTAGTTATAAACCTACTTCGAGAGCCTAGAGCACTTCCACGTGATCTAGACGGCAAACCTCGTAACACACTCTTGCTCTCTTAACAAATTTCCTCAATCGAATGGTGACCTTTTGAGGCTGTTTCCGTATATCAACGTGGTGCTTGTGACACCTCCGAGCTTATCAGATTTCAAAACTGCGGTACTGGTAACCCAAAAGCATCATCTCTACCATTAGTAATTAAGCTAGCCCATTAAAAAACATAGAGAATATTAGTACTATATTATTTTTCTTTTCACAATCAAGGGAACCTATGTCAAGATATCTTTAGAAAGCCCAACAATGTATAATTCCTGTCGTAACAACCATAGATATCTATCCCAGAAAAACATAGAAAAGCCTAAAGCACATCAAATCCCGCTTAACAACTTCTTATACCTATCCCAGAAACAGGTTAAAACGCCCAATCATATGTAATCCTTGTCTTGATAGCCAAATTACACATCGTAGAAGAACGCCGGCAAGCCTAAAATTGTACTAGATCCATCATAATATGCATAGGAGCCATCCCATAAGTACAAGAGAGCTACTGAAAATGTATCTAATTTGTGTACAGTACATAGCTATGCTGAAGTTATCCTTTCATTCAAGCACCATGACTGCATAACATTGATTTGATATAGCACGACTGACTGTGACAATTAGGACGAAGATGGTCCGGCCGGATCTAAATTTTATTAGTGTATCAGTATATTTGCAGGGTAGTTGATAAGCTGACCTTTTTGTGCGCTTTCGTCATCAGAACTCTCTATTGTAGCAGCAGAAGCTGCTAGAGCTCTTCCAGCATTTCTACTCGCAAGATCAGCTTGAATAGCTGCTATGGTAGCTTGAGCGGATTGCAAATTTGCGAGAGCAAAAGCTTGACTTCTTTAGCAACGCAAGGGAGGTAGTCAGGAACGGAGCTACTTACCAAGATCCCCGGTTATTCGGTCTATATATGCATTTGTAGGCTCGATTACCGGCTTGCCTCTCTTAGATGAGGAAGGCTTAGACTTATGGACCCCGGAGGATTTAGCAGAAGAAGCTGATGAGTTAGCGCCATCCTTAGATTGGCGCTTCCTACATCTTCTCTTGGTAATGATATGATTATGGACAGGGGCGGCATTGACGTTATCCACACCACTACCAACGGTCACCGCAGCTCCTGTTGCTTGGGATGAGTTGCCAGAGAACCCATGGTTAGGCTCTCTAGTGACTCCTCCAGTCGGATACAGTTGCGCGGCAGAAAGAGGGGTGTAGACAGGTAAGTCCCTTCTTTGGAACATACTCGGATTGAGTTGGGTGGGTGGGAAAAGGGCAACTGGAGGATGGACTGGTTGCGGCTCCCAGTATTGTGGAAGGACGGAGTCAGATTCGGCGCGCCTAAGGTTACCTGAAGGGTTTTGCAGAGCTGCATTGGTATTACTGGCATTATCTTGTGTTCTATTTGAGTGTTAGATTATAAGCGAGATGGAATAGGGATAATGTACAGTACCTAGTTGCTTGCTCTTGAGGTTGTTTAGGATCCCTGCCTGTGGAAAATATTAGTTAAGGTCAGATTACGATCTAGCAAAAGCATTTAGCGGTGAGACTAGGTGCGGTGACTTACTGCCCTCTGCAGAATCATCTCTTTGAGAACCCATATTTGCAAGAATGATAATAGCCTTTGCTTTGCCTCCCACAATAAAAGTTTTGAATGTGTAAAATGAAATCTGGTAGATTTGGTGTGATAAATTCTGTATTGAAAGAGAGATGGTTATTTTTGTTGGGAAGGAAGAGCTAAGATACTGTCCTTGTGGCAGTAATTTCGCAGCTTTTCACTGCATCTTTTCAAGCTCCAAGATTAATTGAGGGGTAGATCGCATTTTGGACGCCACCAAGATGTTGTTGTATGAATAGTTCAGATCAACCTCTGGTAAGGGAGACTAAGGCATTTGTATGAAGATGCACAACATCAAAATACTACGGAATATACTCATTGGCATTTAGTGGAAGTAATTATCATGACCTTCGTGTAATATGAATCTATATATTGAATCCCATGCTGCTAGGTTCTCATAAACTTTCACAAATATATTGAATACCTTAGTTCTGTTGGCAGAGGCCAATGAGATACTCAGGTCTCTTCTAATATCAAGTCAGTTTGAATCAAGAAGACAATATCTACTGTGCCATTTATAATTTGTTATCCTTTATTATGATCATATCTTGGGTGCATTTTGTATATCTATCAAGCATTTCAATATGTTTATTATGAGTAGACATTATGAGCTCAATATTCACTTGCTCGGTCCTCCTCGGCCACATGATCTCCTTCCTTAAATCACAAATGCTCGAACCCTTCATGATATTCACCTTATTGAATATTAGACAACAAAGAAACATTTAAACGAGAAAACAGATTTAACTAGTGTAGTATTCAGGCTTATTCTCTAATTTCCTTTAAACCTTCATTCCTCTTCTGTCGTACCATTTGTATTTTTCTAGTTCTGAAATCTTCAATAGACTCCCATCAATCGCTTTTATTTCCTATACTTCAATACAATCAAGGTCGGAACACAGTTAACGACTTGTTGACTTCAAAATGTTTCCTGCTACCTTTAACATGCAGCTTCTGGCCGTTGTGACTTTACTTCTGGCCAATACATTTGCCAACCCAATCAAGCGCAGTGACGATGAGACTACAGTCGTCAGACTTCCTGGTCTCTTTGGACTCTTTACCACTGTTGCTACATCTGCTCTAACTACTAGTGAAATTGTAAGTCAAATACTGTTAACAATTCCTTTGACTTCTCTACTCTCACTTGAAAGTGATTTCCTCAAACTTGAGTAACACTTGCACTTGACCACTGGTTTTTCAAAAGGACACCGCAGCTAATTTCAAATTGTTCAGGTTGGTGTTGTCGTCATTTCAAGCTCAACCATCTACATTCAAGAACCCAACTTCTTTCCTACTACCGTATGGGGCGTACCTGAAATCACTTCATTAGGCACACCTGACCCTATTACTACCGCGTCAAGTACATCATACAGCTTTCCAACTTTTTCACTTAAATATAACGCATCAGCAACGCTAGTTTCTTCTCTTGAGACTGTTATTTCCACCTCGACAGCAGCTATAACAGACCAGGCCCAGATAAAAGCAGTGAAAACTTCATCTTGCAACACTGACGTCGCTGGCGTAACCATCCCTACCAGTGCTCTCACCACTGGAGAATTCGTTGCGGTTGAAACTCTCTGCGGTGCGACAATCTACATCCAAGAGCCAAATTATTATCCCACCAAGACATATTATAGCATTCCCGCATCATCGACAACATCAACCTTGTCTTGCAATACAGCTGTTGTAGGTGTGAAAATTGATGTTGGCAACCTTACTATCGGACAGTTCGTTGCTGCAACTGTTATCTGTGGGAGGACGGTATACATTCAGGAATCAAACTTCTACACACCGAAGACTTATTACCGTATCCCTGCTTCTGCGCCAACAACTTCCGCCTTAGCCTCGTCCACCACTGGGGCGGCTGTTAAAGCACGTGTGCTAGAAGTATGTACTGGTCATAACATACCTTTCTTTGGTCAACACAAGCCAACCTTGCTCCACCAAGCCGACCGAAACTGGATCAAGAGTGTCCCAAGTAGCGTTGCAGGAAATCGAGGTGCGCGGGCTTTCAGGGAAAGGCAGGGATAAAAATAGATGTATCATTTCCTAGACGATTTCTGCATCTGGGCAATCATTTGATATAAAATCACGATTACCTCAAGCTTCAGGTGATTAGCTAGTTGACATACTCTACTTGCCTGTTTATCTGATCGACTTTCTAGTAGTCAACCTTGCGGATCATTACAGTCCCCTGGAAGTTTCATGTAGAGAATAGACTGTTCCTACTTTGACACGCTTATCATAAAAATGATAGAGATGTGATGGATTGGATACACCCGAAACTTCACCAAAAAGAAATGTTTCTTCCTTGCATCTGAAGTGACTGATTTACCGCAAAATTGTAGAGCATATTCAAGTCATTGATGACGCTTGCCATGTGCATTTTTGCCAAATAGAGCGCTAATACTTGAAATGGCATCATGATAATTGCGATTCTCCCTTAGACAGGTAAGATGGGATAGACAATAGCTAAAAACTACAAGATAATGAGCATTACATTCTTGAAAGGATATCGAACAACAAGCAGATTCCTAGTACGTCTTTCAAAATCCATGATCTCCTGAGGATATTTAATCTTACGATTTTGAAGAGTAAGTAAGAAAACAGATGCCTGTGGTTGCAGGGCTTTACGCAGTATGATTGGATTCCTGGTGCGAACCAAAAATAGTTTTGTTTGACATCCCCTTAGAATTTATGCTCCACCGAAGTTTTCATGGTATTGAAACATTGTCCGAGGTCGATCCAAACATAATACTTCAATACTCCTCCATTACGTGATCTTAATACCGTAAGGTTTCATTTCTCCCGTTTTTCCTCTCCTGCCGTAGATTTGTTTTGTTTTTCAACCCCGAAAATTTGAGATGATTGAAATCATTAATTCCTTGTTATACTTTACGACTACTTATCCATGAATTGTCTTGAGGTATCTTCCTCATATGATTCTATGCCCACCAAACTCCACCCAAGCAAATTTTCCAGGGACCAAAACTCCAACCATGCTTATTTTCATCTCTCGTGATCCTTCACAGTAAATCGAAATCATCCAACTTCTCTCTATATTTCAAGATGTTTCGCTTGATCTTCGAACCATCCACCCAGGTAACGAAATCTTCCATACTTCTCGTAACTAGAAATGCCGTATCCGTGATCGTCTCTGTGCCCACTCTGACATGTCCTTGCTCAATAATCTTATTCGCAGCCTGTACAGTCTCTGCCATCCTTAATCTAGTCATTACAACCGGGTAAACGTCTTCGACAGAAATGCGGAAACAGTAACGTGCGATTCAACAGAAGAAAGTTTGGATGTGGAAGCGGTTGAAGGAAGAATTCCCATGTCGTGAAGCTTAGAGAGGAGGAGCTGTTCATGCTTTAGACGGGCTGGAGAATCGGGAGGAAGAAGTGTAAGCTTGTGGGCAAGTTGGCGGAGAGACTGTATATACAGTTAGTATTCGAAAAATGCTGTAATGGGGAGGATAGAATCATACACCACATAGTCTATTGTATTTCTGATAATCTCCAGGTTTCTGGATCGCATATCTTCGTATAACAGCCGCATCTCGATGATTATTGTCCGATGCGTAGGTTGTGAAATCTACTTTTCGCAGAAGCTTCTGCTCATGATGCTTGAGTTTACGGACCATTTTGTTAGATTTCGATTAATTGAAAGAAATAAGGTTGTTCCTGGCGCAAACGTTTGAAGCGCCTCATTATATATCAAAATAAATTTTTGCGGGTCATCGGAATAACTGTCTCCGGGGCGGGGGTTCGGCCCGCCTTGTGACATGCTTCAAGATTTTGGGTAAGTCTAGCAGCATAAAGTGGTTTTGATATCGAATTGCTCAATTATACCAACCATGCCTCCTCGATTACAATGTTTAAACGCAGCGCGAAATGCGCTCTCAATGCCAGGCGTCGGGATGCGATTTTCAACTAGTAAAGTTGTCTCGGCTGGTAGGCCCAATAATTTTACATTCATCAATGCGGTTGCTAACCCGCGCCGCAGAACTCCCCCCCGCCTCCGACACATCGTCCTCGGATGCGCCTCGTATTGGTGGTCTCCTCTCACTTCTAAAAGTAAGCCAGGAAAGGACTGCTGAGCGACTTAGGGCGGCACAAGCCAACGCGAGAGCGACTGGACAAAACTCCGCCCAGGAAAACGGAGCATGGCAGACAAAAACAGACCTGACAAAACAAATACACAGAAGGTGGAAGGCTGGAGATGTTTATGCACCGCATGATTTAAGTGGAATAGAAATGTCGAAATGGAAGAAGAGAGGAAAGGTCACTAGAGATGTATTTGATGTTGTTGCATTTGATCCTATTGCTACGGGAAGTTATAAGGTCAGTTTTCTCCTCGTGAAATGAAAGATTAGGATGAGTAGGACTGGTTAAGGAATCTAGAGCTGTACTAATGAGAAATGTAGAACTTTTCGATAATGTCAGAATATGTAACGCCCATGGGAAGGATTAGGGGAAGTAAGGAAACTGGATTGAGACCGGTCAATCAGAGGAAGATTGCGAAGGCAATCAGAAGGTCTATTGGTATGGGCATGATGCCTAGTGTGCATAGACATCCCGAGGTTCTTTATAAGGCGAGAGAGAAAGATGAGCAGAATGATAACTACAAACGAGGTGCACTCGTTTGAGAGGTTAGCAGAAATGGAGGAATGTATGATATATATGCACCGACTAGCTTGCATAACTGCGATCAACTGAGTAGGATTGTATGGTATATCGAGTTCAAGCATGCATTATTTTTGCCCACGAAATGGTGTCTGTCATCCTGGCTTTGAGACTGCGCCAAGGGATGTGACAGTATTCTCCAAGCCAAAAATGAAGTCAGGAGGCACCCTTTGGAGTAATCTCAATTATAAATTTGGCAATTTAAACCAATGTTCGCTGCTGAAATCTCTCCTGCTCAACCTTAGCTCCAGAAAATAAACGAACTCCAGGAAGTTGAATAGTGAATGACTACGAGGGCGACGGAAAAGATTCCTTAATACATCGAAAATTTTGAGACATGAACAGGATAACAACGGTAAATTCTTGCCCAAAACCGAGCCGAGCTTGTTGAAATCAGGTTTGCACGCAGCTTCCTCAAATAAACATATCAGGGATGTTGTTGTTTATCGCTTCGTTGTATCTCAGTACCACAACTCCGCGAAACCTTTCCATTAAAATACAGTGGTTTGAAGATATAATAGCTAAAGCTGTCACCTGGCAAACGTACTCAGGAATCACAATTTCGGAGACTATGGAATACCTCCTTAGATGCCATTATCCACAGCGATCTTGGCCTTAGAAGCCAGCTCAGGGGTAGCAACGGTACAAATTCTGTTGAGGCACTATCTGCTACGAATTAATACCTACATCCAGGGAAGTGTTTAGCCTATGGCTATGGGATTGGTTCAAGAAGAAATTAGGTTAAGGGCTTGGCCACGAGGACAGGCTGCGAGGACTAGCTATCTCAAATCTAATAAAAATCAGGGATAATTAGTGACCTTACATTGTATAGAGCAGGCGAGCTGGCACGAGGGTGGAATTTAAGCAGTTGGGCGTTTGACTATCAAAATCTTAGCGTCCTCTTGTAATGACCAGGTGATTTCACTCTTCGACCGTACGAACATCAATTTATGTCAGAAGGAATGCGCAACTTCATTGTCGGCCATTGGCAAGCTAATTTAAGCCACTTATCCATTCGATCCTAAAACTACCTCGTTCCCATTGTATGCTGCAGTGAAACCCCAAAATCCGCTGCTTTCTAGGCTATACCAAATACATCACCACAATTCCACGTCCCTCAAAGATTCCAATACTTCCTGACATGGACCACTGTTAATACAGAGCTTTGCAGCAAATTAGAAGGGGGAAGCGGGAGAGTCAAGCTGCCAATATAGTTTGACCGATGCTTTCATAGGACTGGGATGTAATTGTAACCCTGATTGGCATCACCAAATCGCGGTGTTGAACTGAAAAAGCATGTGCATCCGGAAAAGCTTTGCTGAACGCCCGACTAGTTCTACAGCCATCAAGGACCATTAACCATTACTAGACTACTGAACACTTTAAAGCCTTTCACTATTATCCCAGGTAGAGTCCTAACATACTATTTGCGTGGGACTTATTCCCTTAGCGTTACTACACCAGGCATGCATCAGTGATTTTACCCACCAGCGGTCTAGGCTTGCAAAAAGTCAGATGGTCAATTGGTAAAACTAGCCTTAAACAATTCTCCTCTTGCAGAGAAAAGGAAGTCTGGAGTAGAGAGGAGTATCATGCGTTGAGTGAACTAAATTTTTGCATTCACCTGGTGATGAAGTAAGTAAGCTTCAGCAGATTCTAGACTTGTACATACCTTCAGGTGATTCAAGACGGCTACCTTGTAGGGTATATCTTTCCTAATTCAGGAGCAGGCCACAGATACTCGCCTGAAAATGAGCATCCGCTTCTCCTTTGTTAAACTCAAACTTAAACCTCAAGCGATTGAAATTCATGGTGACTACCTTTCTTTGAATAGGAGAACGTGAGTGTAAGTTACTCGCCAGACACTAAGTAATAGGCGAGCCGATGCATGGTGTCAATAATGATTACATAAGCATTCATTCGAACCAGCGAGCTATCGCTAGGCTACCCCGGGATTATTTACTCTCAGCCTTGCATCTTTTTCTCGAGGTTCGATCATTTGAGGCTCTGAACCTTGGATCTTTAAATACAATAACTATCGCAATTATGTCTGGTCGACGCGATTTCCTCAATCAAAAGGCACCTGAGAATTATGTTGCTGGTTTAGGTAGAGGAGCCACAGGTTTCACAACACGATCTGATTTAGGTCCTGCGCGAGAAGGCCCAAGTGAAGATCAAATCAAGGAAGCTCTTGCAAAGCGCGCTGCTCAACTTGGTCAAGCAGCTCCTACAGCGTACGGAGCTACCGAAAAGAAAGATGATGACGAGGACGATGAGCGGTTTCAGGATCCAGACAACGAGGTTGGATTATTCTCAGGTGGCGTTTACGACAAGGACGATGATGAGGCAGATAGGATATACCAAGAAGTAGATGAGAAGATGGATAGACGGCGGAAAATAAGAAGGTTTGTCCCCCCCTCTATTATAATTCCCAATCCAATCCTCCAATGCGTTTAGTTTATCATGAAAATAGATGAGCAGATTACCGACGAGTTTACCTACAGGGAAGCACGAGAAAAAGCAGAAAGGGAAGAATACGAGCGAAACAATCCCAAAATCCAACAGCAGTTCGCGGACTTAAAAAGAGCGCTGGGGACGGTCAGTGATGAAGATTGGGCGAACTTGCCGGAGGTGGGTGATTTGACTGGAAAAAACCGGCGGAGTAAACAAGAATTGAGGAAGAGGTTCTACGCCGTTCCAGATAGTGTTATTGCTGGAGCTCGAGACACGACTGAGCTGGGAACTACTGTAATGGATGACGGGGAGAGTGCAGGAGGCGATGGCCCCGACGGGACCATGACCAACTTTGCGGATATTGGAGCGGCACGAGATAAAGTACTGAAAGTAAAACTCGATCAAGCGTCTCAAGGCACAGACTCGATTTCTGGAAATGCGACAAACATTGACCCGAAAGGATATCTCACCAGTTTAGCCAAATCGCAAATCAATGAGGGAGAAACTCAGGTCGGTGACATCGTCCGTGTACGAACTCTGTTGGAATCTGTTATCAAAACAAATCCAAAGCATGCTCCAGGATGGATTGCGGCTGCCCGTGTCGAAGAGCTTGCAGGAAAGACAGTAGCGGCTCGGAATATTATTGCTCGCGGTTGTGAGTATTGTCCTAAGAGTGAGGACATATGGCTCGAAAATATTCGACTGAACGACAATCACAACGCAAAAATTATAGCCGCAAATGCCATCAAGAATAATGACCGTTCAGTGCGGTTGTGGGTTGAATCGATGAAATTAGAATCAGAACCTAGAGCTAAGAAACGAGTCATTAGGCTCGCTCTAGATCACATTCCACAATCTGTAGGCCTCTGGAAAGAGGCTGTCAATCTGGAAGAAGATCCCAGTGATGCACGTCTACTTCTTGCTAAAGCCACTGAAATCATCCCTCTCTCGGTTGAATTATGGCTAGCACTTGCACGATTAGAAACATCCGAGAATGCCCAAAAAGTCCTCAACAAGGCTCGGAAAGCCATCCCTACCTCTCATGAAATTTGGATTGCTGCCGCACGTCTTGGTGAGCAAATGGGTACTGCCTCTAAGATAAATGTTATGAACCGTGCGGTCAAAGCTTTAGCGAAAGAATCTGCAATGTTAAAAAGAGAGGATTGGATTACCGAGGCAGAAAAGTGTGAAGAAGAGGGAGCGGTTTTAACCTGCGGTAACATCATTCGGGAAACTCTGGGATGGGGCTTGGACGAAGATGATGATCGAAAGGATATTTGGATGGAAGATGCCAAAGCTAGCATCAATCGTGGAAAGTATGAGACTGCTCGTGCCATTTATGCCTATGCCCTTAGAGTTTTCGTTACTAGCACGAAACTTTGGCTCGCTGCTGCAGACCTAGAGAAGAATCATGGTACAAAGGAAGCTTTGTGGCAATTACTCGAGAAAGCCGTTGAAGCACGTCCCACCAGTGAAGTCCTGTGGATGATGCTTGCCAAGGAAAAGTGGTTGGCTGGTGAAGTTGATAATGCACGAAGAGTTCTTGGTAAGGCTTTCAATCAAAATCCAAATAATGAGGAGATTTGGCTTGCGGCTGTAAAGCTAGAGGCAGAGAACCAGCAACCAGAACAAGCACGGGAGCTCCTTAAAACGGCACGACAAGAAGCTCCCACTGATCGTGTATGGACGAAGAGTGTAGCATATGAGAGACAATTGGGCAATATTGACGCAGCCCTGGATCTTGCGAATCAAGGATTAAACCTATTTCCTGGTGCTGCCAAACTGTGGATGATGAAAGGTCAAATCTACGAAAGCGAAGGCAAAATGCCACAAGCTCGTGAAGCGTACAGTACAGGTACAAAAGCCTGTCCAAAGTCGGTACCACTTTGGCTACTATACTCGAGGCTCGAGGAGAGAGCTGGCATGGTGGTCAAGGCACGCAGTGTTCTTGACAGAGCACGATTAGCAGTTCCCAAATCCCCGGAATTATGGACCGAATCGGTCAGAGTTGAACGACGTACAAACAATACCGCTCAAGCAAAGATCATGATGGCGAAAGCTCTTCAGGAAGTACCCAATAGTGGATTGCTCTACACAGAATCGATCTGGAATCTGGAAGCACGGACACAAAGAAAACCTCGTGCGTTGGAAGCTATCAAGAAAGTCGACAATGATCCCATCCTCTTCGTCACTATTGCGCGCATCTTCTGGGGTGAGAGAAGACTGGAAAAGGCTCAGAATTGGTTTGAGAAAGCTATTTTACTGGATAGTGATTTGGGTGATACATGGGCTTGGTACTACAAGTTTTTGTTACAGCATGGCACTGAAGTAAGTTCTCCTAGACGTAATTTCCGATGATGGTTGGGATTGCTACTAATCAATTTGTGAAGGAAAAACGTGCAGATGTCGTATCAAAATGTATACTCAGCGAACCGAGACACGGGGAGTTCTGGCAAGCGGTGGCGAAGGATCCAAAAAATGCGGGTAAAAGCATCGAGGAGATATTGAAATTGGTTGTAGATAAAGTGGAGTGAGGTGAAGTAGAAATACTGAAGAGGCGAGTGGTAATGGTTGCTTGTATGATAATGAAATAAATATTCACGGAAAGGTTAGAGCTATTGGATTTGGGAATCAAATAAGCTCACTGCATTTATACGATTAATCCTCGTTCTATGTTCCTACAATGTGGAATAGTTGTATTTGTATCAAATTTTGATGTGATGTCATTTGGTTATCTGTGTAGAATTTTGGGAACGGACGGAGGCGTCCGGATGACATTCTAATGATGTTGTAGGAAAGTAAAAGCTCATCTAAAACATCCCGCATGAATAAACACGTTAAGGATAACAAATTACCCATCACACAAATTTCACATCCTCGGCATGACCATCGTGAAAAACGAGATATGTATGTGAAGGCGTATTTATTAACTACCAACACAAATGATTATTCCTAGCCATTCATCCATTTCCTTCCCTGATATCCATATCATATCATACAATCATAAAGCAAGCCATCAAACCATCAGGCAAAGTAAAAACGTCCATTCCCAACGCTAAGTGAAATACAACTCTTCCCTCTTTTACTTTGTGTCTTTGTTGCCTGTGAGGGAAGATGCTGCGAAAAGGGGTTGTGTTAGTTATATCGTAGTGAATGATAGAATGTGGAAGAGCGAGCACGTACCTGTGTTGGAGATGGTATCCGAGACGGAACCGAGGATTCCCTTTCCTTGGTTTTGGGCATCGTCGGCGCCGCTGCGGGTTTTGTCTGTGGCTTGTTGGGTGGTGGATTTTTGGTCGGCTGGGGGTTGGGGTGTTAGTATGCTGTGAGGTGGAGTTTGAAGGAGGAAAGGGAAGGGAAAGGAAGGGGAGGGGAGGGAGAAATATCGTACATGGTTGGACGGCGGAAGCTGCCTTGTCGGCTCCTCCAGAGATGTTCTCGCTGAGCTTGTCGGTGGTGGATTTTTGGGAGTCGGGAGTAATTTTCTCGGAGACTTGCTCACCAACACCTTTGCGGAGATTGTCAGACATGTTGATTGATGTGTTTGAGAGTTTGTTTAAGGGCTTGAAAGTTTGTTCTGATTAAATTTTGAGTGACGATCCAAATAAACTTGAGATTTTGTGGATGTGTATGGAAAATGTGAATGAGGGGGAGAGGCGATGCTTCTTATACTCAAGACAGGATGGATGATGACACTAGCCACGGATCTGACAAGGTAATAAGGTAGAAAACCATGCTTCTTTCAAACCTGTTTTCAAACAGGAATAAGGCAAGTGGCTAGTGAGTGATCCTGATGGGTAGGAAAAGTCCTTTCAAACCTGCTTCCTACTGTTTGACTACACCTGCCTAGCACACCTACTGCAGTAAGGTAAATGAATTATAGGTAACAAACGAACATCTAGCGACAGAAACGTCATTTCTCACAAGCCGACGCCACAGGATCGCATGATCAAATTCGTGGCTATTTGGCTATCAAGCCATTTGTTCGGATCAGAGCCTCCAATTTGTGCATATATGGCGAGTTGTGATAGCCCCACGAATTAAAAATCGATCGTCATACACATCCATGAGTTGATGTTGTGCCATATTCGCTTATGGGCAATTTGAAAATGCCATGTGAAAAAGGGATCGTGATTCAAGGAACTTCTATCGATCCTTCCACCAATCATAATCACTTGATGTTGGGATGATTACATGGCTTTTGAAAATTTGGAACGAGATGATGCAAAAGGATTTACCCAAACATGCGCGAGACGCTGAATGCAGAGGATTTGTGAGGTTGCTCTTTCATCGTTTTCTTAGATTTATGATGTAATATGTAACAGGGTCAATATGTCGTCATTGCCAACGTCGAAAATTGGAGATTGGGAATATTCCTTAACAGTAAAATAATCAATGGTGATATTTTATGTGGGAAGGCGTTATCATCCTGTGATAGTAAATGGGTGTACGCGTAAAGTTAATACAGCAAGATTTATATTGGGGAGATGATATAATAATGACACAATAAAATTCATTGGGAACATGGATAAAATTGTAGATTGTAAACACGTGATAAGAATTAATCTCGAGAAATGGTATCTCCGTTTTTGAACGTCGCGATCATTGTACTAACAATGATATTCCTGAAACATATCAAAATAGTAAAATTCGTGTTTTATGATGAGGGGAGTGAAGAGAATATTCATGATTACCTAAGGGCTAACTAATTACATAAGAATGATTCATTCACGTGCTCACGCGAACTGCCAATTTTAGTCATCTCATGTAACGTCGTGCCGGATTTAGTGCATGTAATCTTACATTTACAACACAACTGCACTCTGTCCTTTTCAAATCTGTGATGGCCTCAACCTCTCAAATTCACTGTCTTCTATGTTGCAACACAACCTAGTTGTCACACGCCATATGCGAGGAATTCCAGGCTTCAATGATCATTTCATTTGGCGGGTAAGACCTTTGGAAACATGTTTCCCGTGGCTTGCAGGTAATGTGTATTCTTGCCCAGATCTCAACTTCCAAATTAAAAACCCTCGCTGCACCAAGGATATTCATTTCAAGAGTGTTAATCATCTCAGGCACCATAGACCGTGACACTAACGTCGCGGTGTAGGAAGAATAGAGCGTAAAAGTGTGTTTTGTTTGGTTCTTGGAATGATGACAATAGAGCGAGTATAGAGTACACAGCAAGTGCTGCATTATTATTACTTTCCATTAAGTTGAAGTGGGCTCTTTTCATTAGGGATATATACAGCGCGCCACATACATTACTATCATTTACATCAATGGCATAGCTCAAACCTCCTTGACTACCTCACCACTTACGCTCTTTTCGCTGCCTCCAATTGGCACAACGACATGTTCATCAATATCTTTCCTTCTAATATCTTCCTTCACAACCTTGAAGAGAACATCCATCTCTTCCAAACTCAAACCTTTGGTCTCAGGGAGGAACCAAACAAAGATGAATGCGACTGAGTTAAACGTTCCGAAGATCTACTCATACCAGATTTGTTAGCTTCACGTCATCTTTTAACATGTCGATTCATATACAAAAGTAAACATACCATCCAAGTCTTCCATCCAATGTTCAAGACTGCGATTGGAGTCTCTCTGGAAACGACATAATTGAAAAGCCAGACTATCATCACACTGATGGCCATTCCCCAGTCACGAATTCGAGTAGGATAAATCCTGAGATTGTTAGTTGGTGGACATCCACATAAAGTATTGTGGCAACTTACTCTCCAATATAGACCCAAGCAATAGGTCCCCAAGACATGGAATAGAAGACGACGAAGAGGTAGATGATTGCCATCTAAGGAAGTTAGCCTGAAACTCAAACGCTGTAGTGTAGTCTTCATACCATTCCCTTTCCACTAGGTGTATCGTTTGTTGTGTGTCCAGTGGCTGGTGGATGTGTGGCTAAGACTGCACCAAGGGCAAACATAGTGATTGCCATGCCAGCACTACCAACACTCAATAAGGTTTTCCTCTTGAAATGTTGAATCTAGATGACATCAGCGTCAGAATTACCTAGACAATTGTTTTGATGTTTCGAGGTAAAGAAAAGGGGTCAAGGATATGTCCAACTTACTCCTGCGATCAAGAAAAGAGCGGTAACACCGACTTTGATACAGGTGAAAATTCCACTGGCGAACAGAGCAGCATTCTGAGCGGTAAAGCCAATCTGCTTGAATACCGTGGGTCCGTAGTACAAGATTCCATTATGCCCACACCAAATACTGAAGAATGAGACACCACATCCCCAGACAAGACGAATAAGGTTTCTTGATTGAAACAATTCAGTTATCGATCTACCAGAGGTCGCGGCAATCTCTTCTTCAATTTGCGCATGCATCTCTGCAATCTCAGTTTTGATTTCCAAGTCCTCGGACGTTGAGCCTCGGAGATAGCACAATGCGTGTTCGGCCTCGTCCCATCGATTTTGTTTGGCCAACCATCTTGGAGACTCGATTATGAGAAATGATCCAAGCATGATAATTGCGGCGAGGATAATTTGGATGCCCAATGGAACTCTCCATTGTTTGCTTGTCGGATGTAGATGTAGCGAGCATCCGTATGTTGTCCAATAAGCCAGTAACCCTCCGCTAACAAGGAACATCTCAAAAAGTCCCATTAGGAACCCTCTCAGTTCCTTCGGTGCTGTTTCCGCAACTAAAATAGGAGTGAGATTGCTAACCATACCGACACCAAAACCGGAAATAATGCGTCCGGCATAGATCATGGACAGAGAGGGTGGTTGGGCAGCAGTTTGAAGGATTCCACCGAGCATAAGAAAAGCTGCTGCAATAGTCATCGTTGGCTTCCGACCAATAAACTTTGTGAGAAAGGCTGGAACTATGGCTCCAAAGAATGCACCAGCGTTGAGCAGTGCTACTATGTTGGAGGAAATGTATGCTTTGTGTGCAACGCTAGTGGAGAGTTTGAACTCTGTAGAAAAACTATTCATTGGTCAGTTGCGCATCTTTCTCCGTGGCAGATCTTCCATAACTACCTTTGCAGTGCTACTACAGATCCAGCGACACCTGTATCGTATCCAAACAGCATAGAAGCTGTATTAGCCACGGCGGCAACAGAGACTGCGCCTCTGTGCTTTGACAGGAGTGCTAAAGTGGAAGACATGATTGATTTTTTGGATGAGGAAACATGTGAAAAAAAGAAAGAAAAAACATACAACATATATCCATTTTAGATGAAATTGTCTGAAGGAGAAATCAATACCGCTGCAAATTCGGTAATACTTTCCCGCCTGCAAGCGTTCTCAAGAACAGCAAAAGGTCCGCTTCTTACTCTAAGGTCACCCAATGAGCGACGCGAAGGAATCCCGACATTATGGTGCCCCGTGGGGCATATGCTGATTACGTTTCTCCATGAGGTTAATACCCCGCTGCCTCACGAACCATCAACCCATGCACTGTCATTTCAAATCAATATAGGTTGAAGCTTACGATGCACGATATATGGCACTAAGGAAACCTTGCAAGTGTATTCCATCGTTTCATAATTTTTGTGTCGGTTGGCGGTTTATGGGGCCGTATTTATCGCCATCCTCAAGCATGGATACCTACTGGTAGCCTGGTACTGTAGCACAGGACTGCGCATCGGTTTAACAACTCGGCAAGTCTGCACAAAGTGTACTCTATATTTGAATGTGCAATTCCTCCGAGATAATTCCGCATTACAGGTGGAGAAATCATTTCTCATCGACAGCATCTCTGCTGACGGATTCTTTGTGGCAAATTATCGAAATCCTAACTGTTCAATCTTGTATCACGTCGTGGGCTTTCAAGGTCAATAGGACTTCTTTTGCTAAGAGGTCTTATCATGCTTCGAATTTGAGCAATAATGAAAACGGATACTGCTACATGGATATGGCGCCTTTTGTAAAACACTGGCAAGTTTGAGAGTTTGGCACCCAAGTAAGGTACCTCACTTACGAAGCACTTGGTTAACACAGTTATCTTACTCAGATCTGCAATAAGGTCCAATGAAACATTTCCCGCTAGGGGACGGCTGGCTGGTCAGGCCACTCTTCAAGCAATGTTTGGTACAATCTACTCTTATAACAAAAGTGGTAAACCGTCAGTGGGAGGGATCCCAATACTATCTAGTCTTATGTTTGAGTCTGGACCTCGCGAATTTTACCTTGAAGCTTTTGTCCATCAATACCGGAATAGGAAAGTCTTATGCGCATTTACAATCCAGATTTGTACAATTTAAATTAAATTTAGACGAGTTACACGCGTAAAACACAGACATGAACTGCTCTCGGAAGCAAGACTGAAGAAGAATCAATCTCCGATAAACGAACCTGGCCTCTTGGAATATTTTCACACAGAAACGATATCATCCAAATTATTGTCCGTCAGATCCCCTGATTTACGTCCGTATAATAAAATATCTTGTCTTATATTCGCGATCGATGATGGAGTTTATGGGCAGACTAGAGCCCGGCTTGTGCGTAACGGATAAAACGGGCCAGCCCTAGCGAGGTCTCTTGGCTGTAAATTATGAATGCGGTCGGAACTATCCGCCAGACTAAAAATTAGTTCCGACCTTTTTTAATTCCTTATTACGACTTCAATCATGAAACTTAACTCGATCTTATATTTTCCTTCGAATTTTGATTCTGACGAAGTGGTCAGCGAAGGAAAAGCGTAGGATTCATTATAAGAGAAAATAAAAGTATCCTGGTAAAATCTTTGAAATGTCGCTTGGCAAGGGTCTTTGATAAGGGATTTCACCTCGGCAGGTATATATCCTCGAGGTACTCTTACATTTCATAGCAGGGTTGCATACCGTCTCCCTCAAACTACTCATTCTTAATGTTTGGCTGGGGAATCCAAATTTCTGCTCCGAATTGTGGGGATTCATATAGAAACCTTGTTCGTAACTAGGGTGTGGGAAAGTACCGCTGTGGGCTCACGGATCCTTCAACCGAATTCAGCTATTCGCATATGATTTGAAGTCCCAGCGATTTGCTGTTGATTGGTTTGCTTGTGAAATGATCTTGAATTTGAAGAGGAACAGCAACACGGGCATAATCAATTTTTCAGCAGACCTGCTTACTCTATGGACGCGGAGGAGACAAGACCGAGCGACCGAGACTACTATCCATTGTTTAGAGTTCTCTGCCCCAAGTATTATCGAATGACAAATGGTAGGACGATGGTCTGTGCCTTGGGAAGTTCTGTTCCAGAAATCCTTCATTTTCTACTCCCGCAACTGGAGCAATTATTATGTGAGATGTTCATCCATCTATGATATCAACGAGCAATATCAAAACTTCGAAGGAATACAATAATATAGAGTGATGACTCGGGTCCCAATTGACGGGAGGCTTGACGGGTGGCTGCATCGATCTGATATGTTTTGCCGTGGTATAGAAGGTAATTTGGTAGCGATTGTGCCTCTCCAAGCCCCTGTCATCAACAAGCGGGAAATAAAATCCTACTCCATACCTGAACAGGCCACCATAGAGCTAAAATGACACACCAAGGACTTCTCTTGAAAACTTCGTGACATAGTTAAGTTTATAACGACAAAAGATTTCAAAAGGCCAAGTTATATACATATCTCAAATCCGGTGTTATGGAGTTGAAGTTTTTATGGAATATCTTCTGGAACGTTTATCATCACCATGCCCACTTTGTGGGTCTATAACTCAACACCAGAGATTAATGCTCAATCAAATTATCCTCTTATTTTAGAAGCTTCATTCCCTTTGCTTGTGTTGATGCTCATTACTGTCGGTACGAGGTTGTATGTTAGAGTACGTACTGTACGAGGTATTGGTGCTGATGATTGGGCTGTTGTGACTGCTGCGGTATGTCCTTCATTCTCCTATTCCTTGGTTCCATGCTGATTCTTTCCTAGATCTGTAGTATTGTTTACAACGCCTGCACTATTTCACGTAAGGATTACTTCAACCAAATTTGATCAAAGCTAATGGTAAGATAGAATCAAGATGGGGATTAGGTTTACCTTTGGCTCTGCGGCCAGCAGTCAATTTGAATGAATATTCTAAAGTAAGACAATAGTTCATACAGCAGAAAATAGCCACTGACAATAGCATAGGTTAACTACGCTGGTCGACCCTTTTATATGATAGGCGTCTTATGCTTCAAAGTTTCACTTTGTTTCTCCTATTTGCGAATTCTATCCAAAGGACAGCCAAACTATCGCCTCTTAGTATGGTTCGTAATGATCCTCTGTATCCTAGGACATGTAGCCGGAACTCTCGCACTCATGTTCAACTGCCATCCGGTACGTTGGCCTTCCCATCCCCTCATCACATTACCTCAAACCCAATACTGACCGGGTAATTCCTAGGTACAAAAGTCCTGGCTGCCCAAAACACCCGGGAAATGTCTTCCCGTCGGTCCCCTTTTCTTCGGTCTAGCTATCACAACAATCGTCTTTGATGTGATCATTTTCTTCCTTCCTATTCCCTTCCTCTACGGTCTACGAATGGATAATCGAAAGAAATTCGGTATCATAGGTGTTTTTGCCCTTGGAATCTTCACAACTGTCTGTTCGGTTTTGCGCATGTCGGAAATTCCAGTTATCACGAACGGAAGCGGAGATTCTACAATGTTGGTTGTATGGGGGAATATTGAATTGAATGTTGGGGTAAGTAGTACATTTTATCTTGCAATACCTCCCCTTTCTTTACGCGAAAATGTAAATGAAGATTAAGCTGACGATCGCCCAAACGCAGATCATCCTAACCTGCATGCCGGTCCTCGCACCCCTCTTCAAAATTTTCGGCAAGAAACTCACCTCCTCCGGAAAAACTGGAAGTTCGAATCCATATGCTCACAATGAAAGTCATAATATGCAAGTATTTTCGCATGGAAAGAGTGCCAATGGGAAAAGTGCGCATAGAACCACGATTACGAATTTAAATATGAGTTCGAGTAGGAAGGAGAGAGCTAGTAGGGCGCTAAGATATCCTGGTGATGTGAGCGATAATGAAAGTCAGGAGACTATTTTGGGGAAGAGTGGTGAAGAGGGAGTGAGGGAGGGTGAGAGCGGTGTGAGTGGGAATGAGGAAAGGGGAGGAGGAAGTAGGAATAGTGGGGAAAGTAAGGGCGGAGATGGTATTGGAATGGGAGATGTGGATCTGAATACGAATGGGAATGGGAATACTAATGGGAAGGAAATAGAGGGGATAATGAGAACGGTACAGATTGAAGTATCGAGCGAGGAACGAGGAATTCATGATGAGGAATTTGCTGATGAGAGTAGACGGGGTAATAGGTGATTGGAGTCGCCGATCGTTAGATGACCGGTTCCTTTTCGGCTTCTACATCACGCTGATTTGATGATATATATATATATATCTATCATCCCCAGCAGCCATTTCTAAGATATACAAAAGTACGCCCTCGAGCCTGGAGAAGCTACCTCTGCATTCTTTTCTGGAAAAAGATTGCACATCGCATATCATAACATATCATCGTCTCTAGACCAGTGGATCATACTCAGTCAATTAGTCGTATAGGTGGAAAAACTATGTATGATTTATTAACGAACACACACACACACACTCGTTTGAAAATTTTTCATTTGTTATTTTTCCTTTCTTTGTTATTATTATAAAAAAAAAATAGAGGTATTATAGATTATAGATAATAGATCACTCTGTTGTTAGAATTATGGATAGAGAAAGATAGATAGAGATAGAGATAGATGTTAACATAGCTTATTTATAGTAGCTTATTTGACTTCGCTTCGCTTCGTCTGCTAGTGCATGTTACTAATGAAAGTAAGATTATATAGAAATCAACTTCCTGTGATATTTTCCTTGGGATTTTAATAGTTATTTGAGTTTTAAATAGATTGAAGTTTCTTTTTTTTTTCTTTGGATAGAAAATAGGATTTATAGATTGTTCGAATATATAGAGATAAATAATGTTAGATTAGAGTCTGGAAGAAATAATTAATTAATTAGCGGCTGAAATTGTTTATGATAATAGAGATTAACAGAATATATAATAATCTAAGTAGGGATGAAACTGAGTTATAGTATATACAGCCTTCCCCTACCCCTTGTAACGATACTGTACCGGAGGCAGCGGCTGCCTGAGGTTTCGTCTGGTTGGTAGTTGTGGGTTAAGGCTTTATCACTAGTCTTCACTTGGAAGTGAAGTCGTTACTAGATCAAGTAGAATGTAGGTAAACTAATTGATAACTAAGTTGAGCACGAAGCTCCTAAACTATGAAACTACTCTGACTATATACTGAACAATAAAGGGGGCCCCTAAAAGCTTTCTGGCTCCTCAAGACTCCTTATCACGCGATTTCTGATGGTGCGTGCGCATACGATCTTCAGGTGACCAAGATCACATACTAATTCGATGAAATCTGATCGTGTTTGCACACGGCCTAAGCTCTCCTAATTAATCAGTTTGTTACCATCGTAACACCATCAATCCTAATGGTGAATCGTGACACCCCTCCCCTCTTCGCCCCCCGACCCGTCCCTTAGATATCTCCAGCTGCCACAAATTTGGAAGAGGCACGTCAAGGATTCGGAAAAGTTATCAACCCAGAGTTCGAATAAGGAATGGGGTGAGGTTCATTTCTGTGTTATAGTACTCAATTTTTTACTTTTGGAAAGGATGTAAATTTAATATAACAATTGATGCTTAGGAAATGCCGAAAATGACCTAGAAATTCACTGCCTTTGTTAATCATGTATGATGTAAACCTATGAGGTAGGTATAAAATGACTGCTGCCCGCTGATCTTTTTTCGTTTTATATCAAAATGAATCACCCAATAAAACATTCGAGGCAATGGTCGGAGATTGATTCTGTATAGTTCGTTTTAGTTGAAGAAAATGTTGCGAATATTGAGGTGTGTTTGAGCTTTCATGTTGAGATTTATGGGTATGTCAAATTTGGGAATTAAGGGAAGAAGAAAACGACAAGCGCAATTGGTAATGATGATAGAATTACAAATGGACAATGTGATAGACTATTTTTGATAGCAGAAAAAGATAGGAAGTGTAGGAAATAATAACAGAAGTTGATTTAAAGATATAATTTTCAACTTCTTAATGACGAAGACAAGCGAGGATTGGGCCTTATACTTTGGATATTACGCTGTGAGAACTTTGCTGTTGACAAGGAGAGGTGGTTCTTGGTTTTAATGTAGTTTTGGTTGTATGTAAATCTTTACATAGTCTCGAAATCGACAATCCGGTGAAAATAGACGGGAAGATGCAGTAAATAGGGATATCAGAGACCTCAAACATGTGTAACGGATGGGAGAAAAACGGCGCTATGGATTAGTAACTATACAGTACTGAGGTTGAGTAGAAATGACACTATAACATAAAGGTTTTTACAGTAATTTCATTGACAATAAATGATTAACGAAAGTTAAGAATAAACGAAAATAGTAGTTCTCGAAGTTCTAAATACACACATCTCTATTCTTAATTATCATTTCTTGAAATAAGAGTCAGAAAGTAAAATCAGAATCTCCGTTTTAAACCATCCAAAGATACATTCCTTCCTGAGAGAATTTTGTTGTTTTTGTACCCATAAACATGCTCTGAGATTAAAAATAATCTCTGAATTTTATAATGAGCGTTGAGTTGCAGAAAAGTGGTTAGCGATGAGATGTATTGATCTTCTTAAGACTTACCCATAGATCATGGAAGCCTAGATGAATACTCCAGTATCTTGCTTTCGATGTCTCGATATAAATATCGGTAGAAGATTCGACTTATCTCCATGGAATACTTCCGCTTGCCTACGGGAAAAAAGAGGGTGTGAGTGAAGTGACAGATTTTCGGCTCTGACCTTTGTGTCCAAATCTAAGATCTGTGACTTATAGACTAGTTCGGAGGACGTAACAGATTTTGTAATTTTTCAGCTTGAACATATGGCAATGAAAATTATACGTCAGAATTGACAATGATTACTTCATTAGGGCACTTGACAACAGTAACTTCCATTTGGCAATTAGTTCAGACACTGTAAGTACGATCATGTGAATAGCTTCATATGAAGCCGTACACTGGCGGTACTATGGTTGAACTCTAAGCATTATCTTTAATATAAATAGGACCCTCTTCTCGTAGGTAGTTAGTAAGAATAAATAACCAACAAACCCATAATAGTACTATCTGCATAGTATCACCCAAAGTGGTACCAACAGACACATATAGAATTCATTAGAAGGGGTGGGATGTAAGCTTTTTTACTCATCTACTTGAAATGTAATGAATGGATCTATCAATACCTAGCGGTATCCGGAAAACAGCTTGTCTCTCTATTTTAATGACTCTTTCCGTAAATATAATTCAGACATATTGACATTTATTAGCATTTTATCAAAGGGGGAGACTTAATATACTGCAGGAACACCCAGGAATGCAAGACCATTGAATTCAAAAATTAAACACTGAATATTTTGATCAAGAGAAGTCCAAAGCAGCCAATCACAATTGAGAGCTAAGAAGCGAGTAGCATCACGCTACACCATTTTCGGCAAAGAAGACTTCAATACAATGCTTAAGAGGTGATAGCATAAGATCTCGATCACTTACTCGAATACTGTAATAGGTAGAATATATCTCCTTCGTTGAATATCATCATTAAATTTCCACGACACTCAAAAACAAATCACATTGCAACCTTTACACAAAGAACCTACAGTCATACAAAATGCCCAGTGTACATGGCAGTCCATCGCTAACGTCTGAAAGAAAATTTCAATCACACGAAATCCTGGAAAATTCCAGGTAGCCCAAAATTTTACAATCTCGAGCTATGAAACCGTGACGTCACCTCTCTGTAGCCGAGAAAGTCAGATATCGGTAGAAATTCGAAATTATTCAAGGTGACGCAACCAACCGCGCTCACTCAAAAAAGCTTTAACAAGCGTTTATATAATTCTGCCATGTCAGTTTCCAGTTTTGGTTTTATTTCCAATGCCACGGAGGCAGACTATACGAATGGCAAAACCATTGAAAACTTTCCTGTCGGCAAAGGCGCACAGAACACAATCTTCAACACTCATGATCAATCACTCATATTGGAAACTCCTGGTCGTAAATACATTAAATTTTATCGCTTATCATAAAAGCAGTATATCCGGAGATATGCGATTTTGAGTCCTTTCGTCTCGCTTGACATACAGCAGCCCTCCACTTATATTAGCCGATATGTAATTTCGTATCAAAAACAATCAAATTATGTAGTTTTCATTTGAATATTTTAATACAATAAAAAATCAATAATTAAATTCCTTTTAAAACATAAAAGAAATTTATATTAAGTTTTTATATAATAAATTTTGAAATCTAAAAAAATTTATTGATTGAATAATAATAATTTTGAATTGGAATTTTTGTTTTTTGTAGTATTTGTTAAAGTGAATGGTTCCTGCGTAGCACGTGCACAGGGCACTAGTCCTGTTAGGACTAGATTGAGAAGCTCTCTTACAGAGAGCTTCGCACTTCCGTAGAACTTAGAAGAGAGATTAACCTACTAGACTGTTACGTGACGGTTGTTACCCCACTAGTGGCTCACGTGCACTAGCCCTGTATATAAAGACCTTCTTACTTAGAATCTTCTTAGTTCTTTAGTTTTAGATTCTAAGTAATTGAATTGACTCCGTTTACGACTTTTCCGTCACATAGACCAATATTACCTCAGTTCTGCCCTATCAGCTTCCCACTATTCCCTGTGTGAGGTCATTCCTTTTAACAGTATTCTTTATAAAATTAAATTAAATTTATTATATTTACTTTTTGTTTCGATTATATAATTTCAAAAATAAATTTTCAAAATTTTAATTATTATTTTAAATCGTAATATTCAAATTTGAAAGTTTGTAAGTTTATTTTATTGTTTTTATAAATATAATCATATGTTAAAGTAGATAAGTTTTGGTACAAAAAATTGGTTTAACTAGTATAAGTGGTCTAGTACTGTAGATTAAGGCGTCCTTCTGAAGTTTCGGTTTGCTTGCTGCTCCACACAGTCTTCAGTGAAGCTATGGAACATTTGAATGGCTTAGCAGAAGGTTCTTTTCCTTTAACTGGAGGCTTTGCAAATCTCTAACATTCTCCCATTCAGGGTGTTATACTCCACGGCCAACGCCTCCCAAGCCTTGATGTGTAGATGAAGGCTGAGCACCCATGATCCCATTATCCCTATTTAAAAGAATAATAGATCCCAAAATGAATCCATTTGAATGATTAAAACAATTCTTCCGCTATAAAATGGAGAGTCAGAGATGTTTGAATAATTTTAAACATCTTTGAGTTGATGTATGACCTTACCCATATAGTCCCGACAGCTCCTCAAATCAACTCAGCTACCTCGCCTCCTCAAATGACAGTTTTCGAAGTAAATCAAACAACTGAAGCCTATTAACTGCCGCAACGTTAACAGGAGCGGTCAACACCTCCATAATATTGACTATAAGCATCGAGAGTGACTCATGGTCTCGGTATTCGATTCTGATCTCTCGATTAAAAGGACAGAATAGCCTATGACCAATGACCATAAATGAAAAAGATATGGCATGTTGATGACATATGACAAAATGGCTTCCTAAGCCATCTGGCCTAGAAAAAAGAAATAAGAGAATTAGCTCTATTACATTGCCAAACGATTAGTTCCGGATTAGTTTTGGATGTGTTGGACCGTACACGGCCTTGTGTCACGACTTATTAGCTCTGTAGGGTTCCGCTTTACGCATTGTCCCGTCACAAGCTAGATTCTACATCTTGTGCTACATCTTGTGCCTTGGAATCATTTCGAAGCCTCACAGCTAGAGAGTAAAGACGAAGAGCTAAAGTTTCAAAAGGGCGCCCATCTCATTGCCACTTTAGGTAAAATTGTGTTTATATATACGCATATTAATGGTTAATTTTGCTTTTTGGACAGCAAATGCAGTGTGCCTTACTCTTAAACCACAATCACACATCAGAATTTGGAGTGCAGCATGGAATCACATTATTGAAATTTTCAAGATGTCTATTAGCGATAAAGCATATATAGATCGACAACACAATGGTACTGAGCCTCTTAAAATCACTACGGAAGAGAAACCTACATATCCCCCTTAGATGCGATATACCGAGCTTTTTACATTCTCAACTTTAGCCGCTGCCCGTGTCTAGCATCCTAGAAGATGATTCAAGTGCAAGTAAATGAATCGATTAATTCTTCTTTCCTTCCCTTTCAAGACTATGACAAATGTAACGTAGTGTATAGACCTCTGACCTTCAAGTTCGTATCTACATATATAAAATGCTATACCTGAGACTTTCGACACTAAATATTCACTATTAAATCTTTGATAAAATAAAATAAATATCTTTACATCAACTGTGTAACTACATGATTCACTCAGGGATATTTTGAACTTCTCTCGGCTTATATAAATATATAATGAGTTAGTTGTAAGAGTATAATGGCCTAAATGCCGTAATTATACAGAGTTCATTATTATATCTTCTAATATATTTATAAAAAAAGCAATACGCCTCAGCATAGTGGGGAATATAGGAATTTTTCTGTATACTGAGATACTTCCATCACTGCGTTTTGCCAATATGTGTAATGGAGTAAGAAGCTGAGTCCACGGCTGACAGGAATAAGAACAGATTACAGACAGGGATTATTAATATAGTGATTAGATTGTATATATCGATATCCTATATAGTAAAATTGAGTACTTGGCTAATTGATTCATGGATGGGATATGTGATGTGCGTAATCATAATATGCAAGGTGATGAGGATTCATTACTGAGACTTTATAATGCTGTAATTATAGATGTAGTTGCCGACGTATTTGTAGGATATATATATATATATACACATCCAAAGACACACTGATTCCATATCAACCTCTATATGAATATCTAATCAATCGCCCAACCTAAAAATAAAGATGAAGATAAACAGAAATCCCAAAATGCAGAAGTATGTCATTTCATGCACCCAGCAAAACCTTACAGACACACGATATAAAAGGAGCAGGGAATTCTTTAATGACTGATGATCAATAATATAACACGGAGGTCTATTCTTCGGTATAACGAGATCCTTTCAAAACAACTGAGGAGGGGGTGCAGTTCTAAAGTTGAATTACTGGAGGATAATTGTGTAAACGAAGTGAATGACTTCAATTTAATTACTACTGTAATAAAGAACTAAGCGAACGCGAAAGAGACTAGCTCTTTTAGTAAGTCTATATAAGACTTACTACTTTCAATATGTAGCTAGCTCTTTAGACAGAATACAATTAGACATACAGGACCTACGTAATCCGTGGGTGCTACGTCTTCCGTATCCTTCTCGTACCAACAATAATCTTAATATAAAGTGGGGGATGGGATGATGAATTCATGTATTTGAGAAATAGATAGGTGATGAGTGGTAGGGTGTGTGTGAAGCAGTGGGATCTTGTGTTTTTGTAAGAGTGAGGAGTATATATGTAATATAAAGAAGTATCTGTATATATATATATATATATAATTATTCTTCAAACAAGTATAGAACTATCTCAAAACTATCAGAGAAGGTTTGATTATTTTAGAATTGGGCGAGTTTGATAAATTGATAGATGGATGGACGAGGGAGGTTATGCATCCGCATATATACTTGGTCAAGATGGTGATGATATTCAGCTAGGCATATCAAGACATAATATCCAATAAGAAATATATAACAAAAACATAAAATTTCGACCAAACAACCTCCTCTCAATTCTAGTACTAAATCCCGCTTAATCTTACCTCATTCCTTCAGCCTTAAAATATGTATCCATTATGCATGCATATAGACATGCATCACTCCAGCTTCGAAAACAGGAAATACGTACATACTAGATACACCTTAAGTTTACAACCACTAGATGTAACCACAGGACTCCCTCCACCTACCTAGTATTCCCATCCCATGAGTTCTCCTACTCTAAATCACCAACCCATCAAGACTCAATCAAGAATATTAACCCACCGTACCCCAAACCCAAGTCCCCATTCACAAAATAACCAACCTTAACAAGTGGAAATACTACTCCACACATCCCATCCCATCCAACCCAAAGATATCCAATCCAATCCCACCTAAACCAAGCCCACCCAAATCCCCCAGGCCACTAAACCCCAACCAATACACCAAAACCAAGATCGACCAAAGCCAAAGCCAAAACTACTCCGCAAAACCAAAACGAAAACCAAAAACCAAGATTCACACAAAGCAAAATTAAAAGTAAGGAAATGACCAGCTGATATAAGTCTCACAGCGTAATCGATGCGCTGTCCGCGCACGCCACGTGCGTGTATATGTATGTACGGAGTATGTATGTGCGTGGGGGGTCAAGGTAGTAATTAAGACAATGTGTGGAATATACGGAGTATTGGGGATTAGATATGTTTTTTAGTATGATTTAGATTGGGTGGGATTGGATTGGATTTATGGAAGTATACTCTGTAAGGATGAAGTTTTTGGGGTTGGAAATTCTATGAGATGAATAGCGGTATGTGATTGTAAGATTATTACTTAAGGAACTTAGTTTAGCTAAGGATGTCAGGTATTCTGTTTATTTTGAGGGGGGAGAGAGGGGGGTTTTTGGGGTTTGTTGAGATGTAAGGTGATGATTTAGTTGTGGTATGGAGGAATTGATATTGGATTTTTAATATTAGGGAGTTTGATATTTGTGAGATGGGATATTGTGGTAGGGTTTTAATGTTATGTATTTAGATGATGATAAGTAGCGAGAGGAGCATCATCAGCTGAGAATTAAAGTATTGGAAATGAAAATATCTACTGCAGTAGACAAGATGAAAAGATATGTGTGAAAGCTGACTTTCTTCTTTCTTCTCGCGGATTTGTAGGTGAAATGATGTTACAATTGATTAAAGCGTGATGTGAACCAGTTACTGTTTTTTGTTTTTGATATCAATAAAACATCAAGAAACCAATTATAATTTTCCCCAAAAGGAGAAAAACCATCATATATAAAAGATAATCTTACATACCACAAAAAGCATGGTAAAGAATGCATCAATAAATCCAAAACCTAGAGCTATAATCAGCTCAATGGATTGGACACAGAGTATACTATCCCCGGGAATGGGTAACCTTACTCTGTGCACTGTGTGCAGTAAGGTTAATACATAACATGGTAAGCATAAGCTTAAAGTACGCCCAGAAACTAAACCCATACAGAGTACATAAATAGGTAGGTAGACCCGATGGAAGGATCTAAATCCTTATTGAACCTGAGTACATGAAATTTTCACACCAGCTCGAGCTTCAGCTCTTCAGTATCTATTTATTTAAGCTATCTTAATCTTAATCTTACATACATCGGGAGTAAATCCAAGCGACCTGACAAGAAACGGGACAGGGCAGGGCAGGGCAGGGCAGGGCAGGTTTCCAAACAAGAAGAATCAGAAGAATAAGCTCATGCCTCGTTTCACAAATCTTATATAAACCTGATTTTCAGCTTCTAGACCTTTTTTTTACTTGGGTTATTACTCTAGTGGAAATATAGTAATACTAATAATAATAATAATAATATTAATAAATATATCAAAAGCTTATATACTTTATATATATATTTATTTTTATAACATGTCTCGAATCAGAAGAATGAATTGAATGAATCTAGATAAGGTGAGAGGGAGACAAATTAAACTTTTTCCTTGCTTTGATCTTTTTGTTGAATTTGAATTTGAATTTGTTAAGCTTATCGTGATGTGTCAATCAGTTGACTTCTTTGTGGAGAGAGGAGGGGGGTCTTTTCTCTTCATTTAAAATTTTTAGATATTCTGTCTGTACTGTAGAGTAGAAACTTATCAGATCATGATGATGCGTATACCAACATACCATACTGGTATTTATTTGTATTGTGTAACAATAGACGATCGATCTATGGTAATGTGATATTCCTAGGTAGGTAATGTAACTAACACCAATTCCATACAAAGTACTCCATAGAGGTTATCCAAAAGCCACTTCCAAGTACCAAGTATGTATATCAGACAGAAATGAGAATCCATACCATACATAGCTCGGTTCCACGCTGCAACTTAATATGATAGTATAATGTATTTTCTATCCTGATTCTGATTCTAATTCTAATTATCTATGATGCGACTCTCTGATTCGTCTCAGATAATATACAGTAGGAGGACTCTCTCCGGAGGAACAAAAATGTGCCGTCTTCATCATCATCATTATCATCATCATCAATGGTCATTTCATCATTTCGTCACTCACTAGCAATGTGGAAGGACAGGGATTATGAAGTATTGGGGTTGTTTGATAGGAAGGTTCGGTGTTTGGAATCTGGATAAATGAAATGGATGGATGTTGGGATGGAGGGATGGATGAATGTGGGATGTGGGATGTGGGATTTGGAGATTTTTCGTTTATGGCTTTATGCAGCCTTGTTGTTTGTTGGATTTATTTTGAGGATGGGATGAAATAGTTTCTTTATCATGTTTATTTACCGTTTGATTCCGATGGGAATTGAACGGATGGATGGATGGATGGATGGATGGATGGATGGATAGATGGATGGATATTAAGGTATCCAGAATAATTGATCGATTAGAATATCTAGATACTAGATATCTACCTAGGTTCAGGTACAATCGTAATGGATGAAATTTATGAAGAAACAATGGATGAATTTTATGAAAGGTGGGATGAATGAGATTCATAACTGAGATTATTAGTGCATAATAAGGTTTTTGTACGTACCTTACTAATCGGTGAGGGAAAGTAAAGTTCATTCTAGAACATCTCTCGCTCTCGTGCTACGCTACGGTGCGACAGGAAGAAAATATTTAAGTGGAGGTCTACAGGGCAAAATTTGGCCACCAATATGTTATCTACCGATCGTCCGGACTACCCGTAATCACGATCTTGACAGATACATTCATTTATTTGTATTGGAAATTGGGATGGTTTGATGTGAAAGATAATTAATTTACCTGGTAAGATTGTGAGATATCTAATTGATATAATATGAGGGGGAATATACTCCATTTAACTGAGTGAGTAATTAACAACAATTAATTGAGAGTGAAAATCATTTACCATTTCGATAACTGGTTGGAATTTAAACATTCACATGGCTCGCAACAGACCAACATCTAGAATCCCGGAATATATTTCTTGACCTCCGATTGTTTGTCCTTTTCTTCATGTGTTATTCTATTTAGGGTTAGTAAATGGAGTATACTTTAGTCTTTACGTTAGAGCAACCTCTTTTCTTTCCCCTGTGCCGCCGCTCAATTGAACGGTTCGTGTGAATTCACCCACATTTTGTAATCATGAGAAAATTTAGTTGGGAAACGTTGGAACTTGGATGATGGATGGATCAGAGTTTGGTAGATAGCGGAGTAAAAAGGCTAGA